CAGAATATCTCAGACCGCTTTGCTGGTGAACCCGGCGCTGAGACCAGTGAATTCTCTAAGCATTTTAAGGATAGCGTCAGCTCATTGCTTGCCGCCACTGAGAGGTGTGTGAACCCAAGACTATTCTTGACGCGATCACTAACTTTTCTGTATCTAGACCCGACGCGGACAACCTTCTCCGAACGGCCGCATATGAGGTTCTCTCGACATTTGTTACAAACGCTGCCACTGATTGTCTGCCTGTGATTGTCAGCCTGGTCGACGTCATCATGGAAAGACTGGAGCGCACTGTTCCTATGCAACAACAGGTAGTCAGTGTTGAAGACCGGATCACACTAGAAGAACTCCAGACGAGCCTTACCAGTGTCCTTCTCGTAAGTTGTCCTCAACCCCCGAGAACTCACAATCTTTTGTCGCTTACTTTTTGTCAAGGCTATTGTGCAACGGTTAGAAACCGAAATAAAACCACAGGCAGACCGGATCATGCACCTTATGCTTAAGGTCTTGTCCACACTGCCTGCGAAATCCAGCGTGCCTGACGTCGTGTTTGCCACTGTCGGTGCAATTGCCAGCCCCGTAGAAGAAGACTTCTTGAAGTACATGGAGGCCTTCACACCATTCCTGTACAGTGCTCTGGGTAACCAGGAAGAACCTGGTCTATGCTCTATGGCTATCGGCCTAGTAAGCGATATCACTCGAGCATTAAACGAAAAGGCCCAGCCCTTCTGCGATACATTCATGAATTACCTCCTCAATCTACTGAGAGTAAGTGCCTTCCGCTTCTCCGTTATGAAATGCGCTAATAACCGAATCTCAAGAGCACGACGATTACCAATCAGCTGAAACCTGCTATTCTTTTGACATTTGGCGACATCGCACAAGCTATTGGAACTAATTTCGAGACATACTTACCAGTCGTGGGTCAGGTTCTTCAACAGGCGTCAGGCGTTACTGTCGGCAACGATTTATCTCAGGACACCCTTGACTACGTCACTTCTCTTCGTGAAGGCATCATGGATGCTTGGGGTGGCATACTTCTTGCCTACAAGGGTACGCCCAATGGTGAGTAAACCCTTAACTTATTTTATCAAACATGAGAACTCACGTTTACTAGCTAATAACTTAACACCTTTTGTTGAGTCGATATTCCAGCTCATTAGCCATATCGCTCACGAGGGCACCAGAAGTGAGGGTTTGATGAGGTCCACCATGGGTGTAATTGGGTACGTTTCTCACTTCTCACATATCGGTCTTTTTCTAGGCTAATGGGAGCAAGTGACTTGGCCGATGTGTTCCCCAACGGTGAATTTGCATCCCTATTCCGCAACGAGTTTGTCTCCGGCCTTGTAAGAGAAACCCGATCCAATCGGGACTACGGTGGTCGCACAATTGAGACTGCACGATGGGCCCGTGAACAGGTTAAACGACAAGTCGGCCTCGCTACTGCGGCTGCCATGTCATAGATATCATTTGCGATAACAGTGTTTCCCAGTATCTCGGGTCTATTGTGCCTAACTTACAGGAAAACTGTCACTTAAATCCCCCTGTAATGGTCTATACCACTAGTGGAAAGTGACAGCCGAGTTCGTCCAACTCTTGAGGGTGACAGAAGAGCCGCCCAGAACTGCTATAAAGGGGTTTCCTGAGCGGCATGCAGATTGGAAGATCCAATATCTTTTACAGCACAGGAGTTTTGCACATGGACTCATAATAATAACCCCACCCACCAAGCAGATCGACCCCCTGTCTCGCCGTCACCCTGAACACCCACAAGCCCGCCCCCACGCCAGCAAGCATTCAAGCATTGCAGCCTTTCCACCTCGCAATGACCCTAATTCCTTTGTCGCACGACCCCCCTAGTATGATATGTTGATGCTTGTTTCCAGAAAGGGTTCCGCCCCCCAACCTTACGTTTAAATCATGTATGCCCCTAAGTCATGTATCTTCCTTACGGCCTAGTATTTATTCACTTGGACTGGGTTGTTTGGAAACTAAAATATTGATTTTTGTTATTCCGGCGAGTGTGGAGAAGCGAAAGGACGACGGATGGATGGCCATTTGAGAGGATGGAGGAGATTTTACATTGCTTTCTCAGCCTCTTCTTTTCTCCCTTTCCCCAGTCTTTTCCCCTTCGCCTAATTCCCCCCCTTCGATTTCGCTTACCCTATTTTAGACATTGGCACAGCACTTGATTGCCCCTTCGAGCTTGAATTTTAGAGCAAATTGTAATATCATCCAGCCCATGTACTTGCCCTCGCCTGTGCCCTTACTTTTTGCTCCACTTAGACGAAGAATATTCTATGGCCCTGATATATGACAATATGCAGTTTACCAACACTGACAGGGACGTGTATGATATCGTTCAACCCTCATGATTCCTCGTCCCGCCTGGCGCCAACTTCTATATCACGTGATAAGTACTGTATAAGGTTAGAGCTAGGGCACGAGGGGATAAGCCCTAAGCCGTGCGCGCTAAGCCGGTTAGCGCACCCGACCTCCACTCGACATCGAGCTGGTATCGGAATTTTCGACAATCTCCAGTCCCAACGCAAGACCACCGCCGTCCACGTCAATCGAGGTATGTAACTATGACCCTTCATGTCGCAATCTGCAATCCAATACTCTTCAGCTAGCTTGGGAAGAAGCAATCATCATGCCGTGGGACTGATGGGCAGGACATGATGATACGCTTCTTCCCTGTGCTCCATGAGCACGGGCTGAAGAACCCTCTTCTCTTCCCGTCTAGCGAAGGGGGCACTCTTTGCGCTCGATAAATAAAGCTGGCTGGAGGCTAACATATATGCGCTTTCTTTCCCCTTTGAAATCCCTTTTCCTATCTTTTGCCTGAGATATGGGGAAGATAGGAACGGGATTTCAAACAAAGGGGGAGAGTCTCGCCCCTTTATATAAATTTAGATACCTCATCTCCCAACGAGGAAAATTTCTTCGACCCGTTCGATTTGAGAATCTCCACCGGCGAAAGCTACCCTTTTCTTTAAACCGCCAAAATGGTCAAGACTAGCGTCCTCAATGATGCGCTCAATGCCATCAACAACGCCGAGAAGGCTGGAAAGCGTCAGGTTATGATCAGACCTAGCTCCAAGGTCATTGTCAAGTTCTTGTCTGTGATGCAGAAGCATGGTATGTGAGATTTTTTTTTCCCCGGGGATTTGCGATTTTTCCTTCAGAGGACACAGCTGCGGGTCACTGTTTGACATTTTCCCTTTTCTTTTCGGGTTGATAACTAGGCGGATGTCTCGACTTTTAAACCACACCACGATTTCTGCCCTTTAAGTGCCCGATATATTAATTTTGCGATGATCTTACATGTTCCAGTCGCATTGTCGTTTGCGATTTTGCTCTATTTTTCTCTCTGTGATTGGTAACTTTTAATTCGTCGCTACATTTCACTGACAAGTTCTCTTTGCAATTTCAGGTTACATTGGCGAGTTCGAGGAAGTCGATGACCACCGCTCTGGCAAGATCGTCATCCAGCTCAATGGCCGGTACGTTTCTTGACATATAAGCATTATAATTAGGTCACGTAATACTGATATTTAATGATGTTATAGTCTGAATAAGACTGGTGTCATCAGTCCCCGCTACAACATCCAGCTCCGCGAGCTCGAGAAGTGGGTCGTCAAGCTTCTTCCTTCCCGTCAGTTCGGTTACATCGTCTTGACCACCTCCGCTGGTATCATGGACCACGAGGAGGCCAGACGTAAGCACGTTGCGGGCAAGATCATTGGTTTCTTCTACTAGAACGACCATTTAAAAAATTTTCCGAAATAATTTTTTTCCGGGATTCATGGCGTTGTACTTCTCGCTTCATGACGGAGTCCAAACGGGCTACTCTGTATGGATAGCAGATTTCCTTTTGGTCATGTGTAGACGGGGCATATAGCAGTATATAAGTACATTGTATCCCGTAAATCTTTTTCGCGTGACAACGTCCTTGTGATACTTCGTACTCCGTGCTCTTGCGCAGACAATGTAATTATCAGATCTTGGTGAAACCGAGCCGAGGTGATTTTCTTCACCGCCAAGTTTTATTGATTCTGCCACATCCGATAAGTAGCAGCCAGGAGCACCTAACGCGACGGCAAGCACATGAACTTCTCGCTGCTGGTGAATCACTTTGCGGAACAGGAATAGTCACGGCTCAGGCAATAACTTACATCTTTATAAATGCCACTCGACACGATCTACATCACCCGGCATGGGGTAAGCCAATTCCGCGCTTGTCGCTTCCCCCGCTCCACTCCGTTCCATTCTACAATCGTCACTGACCCGGAACCTGTCGTTCTTTGCCCTGCAGCACCGTCTAAACTGGACAATAGACTTATCTACGGGTACCTACCATGCGACCTACCCAACGCCGACCGGCATTCCTGTCGACCCGACACTCACGCAGCCAGGTGTTCGGCAATCGCAAGAGTTAGCAGCGCACTTTTGCCATGAAACATTCACGACAAAACCATGCAGGGTGTATTGCAGTCCGTTTTATAGATGTCTGCAGACCATCCAGCCGACAGTGGAAGGGCTGAAAAAAATCCAAGAGGCAGAGAAGAGGCCAGATATCAACTTGACGGTTAGAATCGAAAACGGCCTTGGGTAAGACCACGACGCCGTGCCGACTCTTAAGGTTGATTTTGCCATATTCAGGTCGCTAGTTAACAGTATTCTGATTCAGAGAATGGTTCGGCTCCTCATCCTTTTTCACTCACCCATCCCCTTCAACTCCTGAGGTCCTCGCAACCCACTTCCCAACCATCCTCTCTCCCTCTCCGTCCGAAACCCAATACAAAGCAAGGATAATCCCTTCTCCCAGTGGTGAAACTATCGCCCAACTACACGACCGTGTAGCCACAACGCTCTCGCACATCATCGCCACTGTCGATGAAGAACTCGCGGCCTTCGCTGAATCTCATCCGGACGATCCCCGCAACCATCAAAGTCACTCCATATTGATATGTACGCATGCTGCGCCATTGATTGCAATGGGCAGGGCTTTGACAGGGAATATGCCCGACGATTCTTCAGAGGAGGACTTTAAGCCGTTTACAGCGAGTGTAAGCACGTTTGCAAGACGGAAGTCTGGGAGTCGGACGGGCATCGAGCAGGACGTTGTAAATGGAAAGACCGAAGAAATTTGTGGAAAGAAGATTCCCCACTGGAGAGGTGGACGAGGAGTTGGTGGAGGCTGGGACTGCGTACAGAATGGTGATTGCTCGTTTTTGAGCGGGGGAGAAGAGAGGGGCTGGTATGTGTCGATAAAAGATCTGGGCAAGATATCCTTTCGATGGCTAACTTCTACTTTTTCTGTGTGCGTAGGCATTTTAATGGCGAGGAAGACTTCCTTTCGATGCCTACTCCGCTTGTTGCTAGCGCACCCAGTGGTGCGGCAAGCGATGCCGGCTCTGCGGGTTCTTCCTCTGCAAAGCTTTAGTTATACATCTCCTATGGATGTTTTGCACGTTAAGTCAATCGGTTGCTTGTTTGGCTTGTTAATAGATGTGCCACGGTTTCATCTGCTGTTCGAATATACCCCGGACAGGTGCATAGAATTTCGATTCCCAACGTCCAAAGTCGGCGCAATTTATATATATTAATATATGGCTGATAAAGGCGAGAGAAGTAGATAAATCAAAGCAACCTCTATAATTAGCTATCTCTCGTGGATATTCAACATGGATTAAAAAGTAAATTGAACGACAAAAATAGCCAAATATTGGCGCTTACCTTCTGCGTCAAATACACGCTTTTGCGACATGGCTAGTTCTCTGGGGCATGTAAAAATGCGCCACTTGAGTGAAACAAGCTAGACCCAAGAGAAAACAACATGAAGAAAAATAAGTTCAGAAACCCAGAGAGGGTTAATTCGAGCTGAATGTCGATCATGGACTTCATTTTAAAACAAGAATACAATGATGGTAGAACGCAATGCATGAAGATCCAATAAATCACTCATTAACCCCGCAGCTCTTGATCTGGCTGCTGGTGCTGTGGAGTTTCGCTTATGTTGGCCTCATTAGATGATCTGACATCCGATATGTCAGTGTTGTTCTCAATGTTAACACCATCAGTCCCATCAGGGGTTTCCTCAGGGCGTTGATTGTCTGCCTGCTGTCGCTGTTCTTCTTCATTCCGCCGTGCAGCTTCTGCTGCATTTCTAGCCGCGATGTGACGCTCACTTAAACCTGGAACGAAACTCGCAATGAATATTGCAATGGATCGCTCCAAACTGCGTAGCCCTTCCCACACTCCGCCTTGCTCACCTTGTGCAGCGACAGTTTGGCCTTGGCCAACGTTGGCAGACTCATTGCGCAAATTAAAGTTGGCATCCACTCCTTCAGGTCGCTGGGTGCCATTGACTTCTCGGGCCTGCTGACCATCGACAGGCAGAAGATTCTCCAGATGTCGCTGGACTGGGCCGAGCACAACCCGCTGAATCCTTTGAGGAAGGCTGGTTTCTGAAAATATCGCAATAATAGCGGATCCCATTACAAGAAATGTACGAAGCCACGATCCACGAGCACTGATAAGATAGCTGAAGAAGTATAACCGTATAAACAACCAAAGGCTTCGAACGATAGCGACAAGGTTTATTGGTCTAACGTATTGCCTGTACCGACGCCGGACCAATGGTGGCCTAAAAACACGATTCGCAGGAAACCGGCCTGTGGGACCAGGCGCCCCTAGCTGGGCCATATTACCACCAACAACGAGACCGGGAATATTAGGCGCTAGCCTTGATGTGCGGTATCGAAGAGTTGACGCTGTAGGTTGATTATTGGGGCGCATCACCACGTACTGGTCGCCGTTTGGAGCCTTAAGGAGGTACGCCGCCGTGGGAGTAGGGCCGGCCGTGGCAGACTCTAAGCCGGTGTGATAATTGCTGGGTTGCCAATCTCTAGCTTTCATGATTCGAAGCTGGTCTGCTCTAGTAGCAACACTTATAATTCGACCTAGCCAGCCTTCCAAGGAGGCATCTCGGGGTTTTAAAGGGTTTCGATATTCCTCGTCCTGTATTTGATACAGTTGAAACCGAATTCTCGAAATTTCATCCACGGAAGGACTTATACCATGATCAATTTGATCCTCCATTGCAAGGATGCGTTGCGAGAGAAGTGGCAGTCTGCTTGTCCCCGCTTGATATTCTCCGCTAGTAGGCGCACTAGAAATGAACCGTGGAACCGGATTACTCGTAGTTCTGAGTTCCGGGCCACGATGCGTACGATGCCGTCCCAAATTTATCGAGGACGCGGTGGAGTTCCCCATCCCGGAATTTTCGTGCAATCCTTGTAAGCCTGTGTGCGAAGGCCCCGGCTCTATCACGTCAGAATCGCTCGAAGCCTCCCGCTTAAGTCTCTGTATTGGTGAAATATTTGGTCCAACTCGAGGTAGATCGACGGCATTCGTAGTACTAAACGTAGCATTTCCACGATCATCCGACTCCTGACCAGTCCCACTGCTCTGTGTCTGGGAATCATTGAGCTTCGAACTGGATGATGCGCGAAAAGACGCGTTGCAACCAAAGATCCCTTGGCTTGTGGCCTCCCGGTTGGATTCGGGATCTAGCTCTGGAGGAGTCAGGGCCGGGTTCAAAAGATCTTCGATTCTCTGAGATCGGAAGGTTCTCGATTGAGGGAGTGAGGCTTGTACGCTCCTGCTCTGCGCCTCGTCTGATTTGAAGGATGGCTTAGTATCGGAAGTTTCTAACAGCGGGGTTCCTGGTGGGAGAACGAGATGAATCGAGTGGGTTTCGCCCTATTCACAGTGAGCTGCGCCAACAACTAAGCACGCCACCCATATTGTTATACGACTTACATTTCCCAGCTCAAGAATTTTTGTGAGCGTTTCCTGGGTATTTGACAGCTCTCTGCCTCTATAAATCAATCTCTGCGACTCCGGAGGTGGTCGCGTCGCTAACGCGGTCGTTATCATCGTCTTCAGCTCCGAGACTGTTGTTGTAGGGCGGACATGATTGAAAGATATTCGAGCAGATGTTCTAAATGATGGTGAGAGTATCTGTAAGCTAAGCCCATTGACATCCGGTGTGCTCGAGTGGGCATTGATGTCTGCATCCGCTTGGCCTGGGTTAAGAGCCATTGCTTCTTCAACAGCCAATGTTCGGGCGCGTGGAAAACAACACCAGAACGCGATTAGCTACCCAAAGCAGTGGCTCTAGAGAGAAATATGCTGGCTTCTTCAGGGGCCTCTTCAGAAGGGTCAATAAGCGAACAGGCAGCGCCGAGAGTGTTTGTCTGAGATAGTCTGGAAGCTCTCAGACCATACGGCGGAAGGGAGGTGGTGTGCTCCGTTTCCGGGTGTCAAACAAAAGTGATCCGGAAAACCCTAGTCCCTCGTCAACTTGCAAAAGTATACAGACAACAGTTCCATCAACGGCACGCACAGACTCATGATGACAACCCCAGTGTCCAGACTGAGACTCATCGTTGTCCGCGGGTGCTTGTCCGGCCGCCATCTGGCCTCAAATCCCGCGTCCCTCCACGGCCGCCGGAAAATCTCTCGGCCCGCGACGATCCGCTCCGGAGGTCCATTGCACCAAGCTTGGTTCTCGGGCATTTTCTCCCCTTTCATCACCACGGCACTGCAGCCATGTCCTCGCTCTTTTGACCCTGCTCGATCCGGCCCAGCCGATGTAAAGCTCTACTGAATCATGTCGCTCCTTTTTGTTACGCGGAGAACGGTCTTGAGCAGACCGATACGCTTTTACCACACAATAGAGAAGAGCTCTGTTGACCCCTTAATCTACAGCCATATGGGGAGATATCCCCGTCTGCGCCGTCAGTTTTCCTCATCGAGGTATTGGCAGCGTGGATCACAGAACCAGAATGAACGTCCTAATGGAAACCAGTCATTCTGGGCCAAGCTGAGCTTTGCTCTGAGCAAGACTAAGGTTGAGTGGTACTCCATTCCGGTTGGACTGGGAATCGCATATCTTGGCTTTGTTCAAATCTACAAAATCCAAAAAGCTGAGAAAGAGAAACAACTACAAGAATCAGGAGAAGGATATGAGGAGGTTCCACGGAGGAAAAGAGTACGACTTTCCGGGCCATGGCAAGTGCAAATGATGTCGACTTTGCCCCTAAAGGCAATGTCTCGTTTATGGGGACGTTTCAACGAACTTGAGCTGCCTTACTGGCTTCGTGTTCCGGGATTCAAACTGTACTCCTGGATTTTCGGGGTTAATTTGAGCGAAGTGGCCGAACAAGACCTTCACGTCTATCCCAATCTCGCGGCGTTTTTCTATCGAGAATTAAAGCCTGGTGTACGACCTCTAGACCCTAACCCAAATGCTATTCTATCTCCGTCCGATGGTCGTATTCTGCAGTTTGGTATGATCGAAAAGGGGGAAGTCGAGCAGGTAAAAGGCGTGACTTACAGTCTCGATGCTCTCCTCGGACGAGACGCGGGGACTCCAAGGTCAGAGCTCGCGCAGCCCGCCCTCAGATCATCTGGGAATAGCAACACGACGGATGCCAAAACCGACAGCGATAACATGGAAGCAGACGAGGAATTTGCTAAAATGAACGGCATAAGCTACACTCTACCCTCACTTCTCTCCGGAGGGAAAGACGGACACACGGACAAGAGAGCCAGCTCAATGGATGCATCAGTCGAGTCGAGCTACAAATCCGAGGTGAACGTGCAGGCCGATCTCGCAAAAAGTGAAACTCCATGGTATATGCCCAAGCCAGCTTCGAATCGCGCTCTATACTATGTTGTCGTCTACCTCGCACCGGGAGACTACCATCGGTTCCACTCGCCAGTTCCATGGGTCGTCGAGAGCCGACGCCATTTCGCTGGCGAGCTCTTTTCCGTCTCACCATATCTTCAACGAACACTTCCAGGCCTCTTCACTCTCAACGAACGCGTCGTCCTCCTTGGCCGGTGGAGATGGGGCTTCTTCAGTTTCACGCCGGTGGGCGCAACGAACGTCGGCTCCATCAAGATCAACTTTGATCGTGAACTACGCACAAACAGTCTTACGACGGACACCGAAGCTGACCGCCAGGCAGCTCTTGCAGTCAAGCGCGGAGAAGTCTACCCCGGTTATGCGGAGGCCACGTACCACCTCGCTAGTAAGACTCTGGGCGGCCACGCATTGGAGCGGGGTGAGGAGATGGGTGGCTTCCAGCTGGGTAGCTCGATTGTCTTGGTCTTCGAGGCACCGATGGGCGAGCCAAAAAATCTAGAACTCGGTTCGGGCGGTGAGAGAGAAGGTGGCTGGGTGTGGAAGATCGAGAAGGGACAAAGAGTCAAATATGGTGAGGCATTGGGAGAAGTGAAAGCCTAAAACACGCATTGACGCAGAGGGACTCCCTTTTCCGCTTTTTTCTTTCTTTCTACGGAGTATGGTATGCGCGGCAAAGTGTCCCAGCCTTCGAAAAAAAAAAATGCTTTTTCTGCTTCAACATGTATCCGAAAGCTTTTATAGCTTCGCTGTTAATGACCCGTCTTGAGGCATTTTGTATAATACGTTGGTGTGCAGTGCGTGTCTCGGTTAGAGTGATACAGACTGGTGTTTCATGCCTGGATTCTGGCTTCTCATTAGGCAAAAGCTTCACTGATCCTTTGGGGGGCAATAAAAAGAAAATCAAGCCTCCGCCCCATTTGCTTAGCTTCGTCCGATAAAAAGCTTAAAAGGGCATTCCTAAATGCCCTGGAGGGAGAAGAGGTCTGATGAGGGGAGCGAACGTCGTATCGCAGAGTGTTCTTCGGCCCCTGGTGCACTTCTCCAAAGACCTTGGCTCAGTCAAGAGGCAGTTAGGCTGCTAAGCCTGTTTGCTAAAGTGGCATCACAAGTACGGAGTAAAGAGGAGTTATCCAACTCGCAACCCGCCAGAATTTCTAGCAAACAACACCAAGTGCCGGGAGCCGGCTTGCATTGGTCTGTCTTCCAAGGGAGAAAGTGTTTCCTCATCAATGTTTTACTCTTGGAGGGTGCCGGCTGAATTTATCAGAGCCACAACCATCGGTTTACGGGCGTCCGCCATGTCGAACATGATGTCTCTGTTTGTTCCTTTTTATAACCTGCTTTTTTTATGGCCGTAGCCACAGCCACCGCCATGAATCTCGAATTTCTCGATCCTCCTTGCCACCACCACTACCACCAAGAATTTACACATCGGCTATGGTTACACATCTCGAGTAATTCCATACATGCTGCATAAGCTGGAAAGTCTTTAGGGGATGTTTATTCGACTGCAACACATCCCGGCGTGGGGAGAATAAAGTTTGTACCACATTTGTATGTCATGCACAAGAACACAGCACACGCAAGATACCTGGGAAGGTCGCTGATTGCTCTGAGTGACACGGAGCTACTGGGAATGTACCCGCTATACGGAGTACGGAGTCGACGATAATCCAACAGGAGGCAATTGGACCATTGAATGTGGTAATGAAGTTTGCAGTTGATCCAGACTGCTATTTAGAGGACGAGTAAATAATCAGGCCCAATTGCACGAATAGCGGGGTGTTTACGCGATTGCTTTTCGGGTTCGTCAAAATGAACCTAATTATGGGGAAAATACCGGGCACCCACTCATACATACGAACGTCTTGCACAACATGGAGCGGGCACTGCGGCTCAGGACGAGCCCGTGGTCCATGGAATGGGAATCTGGCGGTAAAGAAATTAGTTAGTCTCGCAAACAACAAGCGATCCCCCGCGTGAGCATCTTGGCGAGAGGCCGGGAGCGGATGTTCACCGGGGGGGGGGGGTTGATTGATCTCGTGCTTTTTTTTCTCGCATATGTAACTACGTCTGAAGAATTAGCAGCGAGTTAAACGGGTGTTTAAAGCGAGACTCCGCGGGGCCATTCAAGAGGGAGCTTATCGTGTCCAACGAGCAGCTATTCCGTAGGATGTCGAGTGAAACCAAGACGGATAAACCGTCTCGATGTATTTTCGTCCAAACGCAGCTTATGCTCGATCGGAGCCCCATATCGAGGCAATGCACATTAGATATCAGCAAGGCGTATTCCCTAGCGCATTTTCTTTCATGTGTTCGGAGAAAGATGATGCAATTTCTTCTCCTTTTTTTTTTTTTTTTTTGAAATAACGCCAGCTCCCTCGTGCGAATCACCATGTTATCGCCCAGTCTGGATGCCCCTGTGTATCCGACCGTCGCTAGATTGACGATCTGTGGACGGATAATTCGCCCTTTTTTTTTTTTTCCCCCGAGGAAGCTATTGGAGGGCCCCCAGTCAACGATAAGCATTGAAGCGTCCACCGTCTTGGATTCCAATCCAGCGAGGCTCCCTCCTTTTTGCCCCGATCGGCGCTGGGGTCTCAATACGGAGTACGGAGTACTCCGTAGTGGAATCAAATAATTAACTTGTGAACAGCGAAGCACGAGCGAGATTTCCCTCAACGGATTGTCGGGAGGCCGCGACACTATCTGCCCAAGAGAAAAAAAAAAAAAATAAAAAATAAAAAAAAATTCCCGCAGTCGTCAAAGATCCGATATTTTGCATTGGCAAATAGGATTTGTAGTATATTTTTTTTTTCTTTTTTTTTTTTTTATTTTTGGCAAATCAATACAACGACTAATCTGGGTTTAAGTACTACTGTACTCCGGTAGGCCCCAGGGCAAATAGCGTCGACTCTCCGCTGCCCAGCACTGCGTCTGTACGCCGAGGCCATCCGGGGCATGACTTACATAATTACCCATTGACCAATTGCACGTTCCTTTTTCAAGAGTCGCAAGCAACTCCAATTCCTGTTTCGCTCCCCGCCAGTAGGACGGAGTGGTGGTCATACACAGTCAGTCACAGCCTGCGCTGCCAGCCCTTGCCAGGGAGCGCAGATCGTCTCCAGCGATGGACCTGGCCTGCAGACGATCGGCCCCGGGCGTGATGTCAGGCCTTATCACCGGTGGGGCTTATCGTCACGTGTAGCTAGCCGGTGTTGCCAAGTCCCGTCCACTGCTGCCAAGAGCCGTAGTCCGCTTGGCTGTCGTGCAGGGGTCGTGGTGGTGGTGGTGGTGGTGGTGGTGAAAATTTGGGGGGTGGTGGTGGTGGGAAGCGTTGGGGAGGCTCGAAGGAGAGCCCGCGGTGCTCCAGGGTCTCAGGTGGGTGGCCGGGCATGGCCGGCATGGCCAATCCCTATGATAGGGCTGCATCCCACGGGCGGAGGAGGCTTTGCACCACCGCAAGAGCGAGCTCGAGGAAGAGACAATGGCGCACGTGGGGAGGACAGACCCGGGCGAGAAGATCCATCACCCTCCTCCTGCGGGCTCGAAATAACAGCGTTGCCCCGCGATGGCGAATTAACTTCACCCCTGTCAGTAACCCAAGCTGAAATGCCCGGAGACTAGCTCGTAGGTGCAAGAAAGGGCCAAAGGGAAAAAAAAAAAGAAAGGAAAGGAAAAAAAAAAAGGAAAAAAGAACTAATTTGGAACCTTCTGGACCAAGAACATCCCTGACTTTTCCTCCCCCATATGCAGCGGTTGAAGCCGGCTGACGATACGTTATCGTGTCCTCGTCCAAAGCTCCGTGGGCAGCAGGAGGTTCGTGGAGGGGTTCGTCTGGCTGCGCGCCCCGCCAATGACATGCCGCCGCCGTCTGAGGTGCGTGCTCATTTGCTCCCTCCGAGGCCGCCAAGGTTCGATTTCGCCAGGCCAAGGAATTCCTCCGCCATGGATACTTCGCCAGTGGCTATGTGAGCGGCCCAAAACCCGAGCGGAATAGTGGGGGGTGGGAAGGGCACGGGTGGACCGTGGTAACTCCGAAACAGTCACCATACGCGTCGCCGTGATTGGCAGAGGACCGGAAATCCCAGTCTGTTTGCCTCCCAGTACGCCCGCCGGTGCTTGAATTTGCGGTGTGGGCGAAACTTACCATGACGAAGGTGGGGATGCCTTCGGGCGACCGCTGGCCGTTTTTCGAGAGGCGATAGAGTTACATAAAGAGTCACTCCCGCCCGCCCCCCGGATGCTCTCGAAAAAAAAAAAAAAGGAAAAAAAGGAAGACAAAGAAAAAAAGGTCATTGTCTAGATAGACCTGCTTCAGGAATCTCTCCACTCTCAGTCACTCTCGTTTCCTCCCTTGTTGATAGAAAGAGAGTAGAATCAAGCTTTCTGCTTAGACTCTCCAGCTTGCTTTCGCTGCTAACCACGACATCCTCAACGGTAGCCCACACTCAGTACTCGCCATCTGTCCCGGTTTATGGAGAAAACCCCCCAGACGCAGGGCCCTGGCCAACAAGGCCATGGGATCCTGTCCAGCCCTGCACACTGCTTGACCTATGAAGAAGCAATTCGAGAGTTGACCACTCATCCCGATGACGGGCTCACGGCGGAGGAGGCGAAGAAGCGCCTCGAGACCTACGGCCCCAACATGCTTGACGAAGGTGAAGGCGTCTCCGTCGTCAAAATCCTTATCCGTCAAGTAGCAAACGCAATGATGCTAGTTAAGCGGCCCATTTCCTTTCTCCCTGTTCGGCCCAATGTCACGTAGAACTCTGTTAGTCTGATCCATTGGCATTCGCAGGTCCTTATCATGGCCATGGCTGTGAGCTTCGGAATCCAGTCCTTCATCGAAGGAGGAGTCGTTGCTGCTGTGATTATCTTGAACATCATCGTGGGATTTTTCCAGGAATATGCTGCGGAAAAGACCATGGATTCCCTACGCTCCCTAAGCTCCCCTACTGGAACGGTCTCTCGTGAGGGCCAGACCAAAGTTATCCCCTCGACGGACATCGTTCCCGGAGACATGGTAGAGCTTAAAACCGGCGATACTGTTCCCGCTGATATCAGGTTAGCAACTTGTCAAGAGTTTTTTTTTTTTTTTTTTTCCCCAGAAATGCGTGTTATCTAACAACGTTGTATTAGGCTTGTTGAGGCTGTCAATTTTGAAACAGACGAGGCACTCCTCACTGGCGAATCCCTTCCTGTTCAAAAAGATGCTGAACTTACCTTCAAGGAGGATGTGGGCCCGGGAGATCGCCTTAATATCGCTTATAGCTCTTCCACCGTCACCCGAGGACGCGCCCGCGGAGTCGTCGTGGCAACAGGAATGAAAACGGAAATCGGTTCGATTGCCGCTGCACTTCGTGCCTCTAACAGCAAGCGTCGTCCAGTGAAGCGTGGCCCTGGCGGTGAAACGAAGAAGCGCTGGTACTTGCAGGCCTGGGCCCTGACCGGAACCGACGCTGTGGGCAGATTCCTCGGCGTCAACGTCGGGACCCCTTTGCAACGAAAATTGTCCAAACTTGCCCTGATTCTCTTCGGTGTTGCTGTTCTCTTTGCGATTATTGTCATGAGCGCCAACAAATGGAGCGACTCAAACGAAGTCATTATCTACGCAGTTGCTACTGGCCTGAGTATGATTCCCGCCTGTCTTGTGGTCGTCTTGACAATCACCATGGCCGTCGGTACGAAGCGAATGGTGCAGAGGAACGTCATTGTTCGAAAGCTCGACTCCCTAGAGGCCCTCGGTGCGGTTACCAACATTTGCTCTGACAAAACTGGCACACTCACCCAGGGCAAGATGGTTGCCAAAAAGGCGTGGATCCCGTCGATGGGCACCTTCTCGGTAGGCACATCTAACGAGCCCTTCAATCCAGAAATCGGCGACCTGGGCTTCGACAACCTTCCGCCTTCCCAGATGGACCCGGATGCCCCTCTGAGTCCTATATCAGCACAAGACTTCGTGGAGAACAATGCCTTGGAGACCTTCCTTAACATTGCTGCAATGGCGAATCTGTCCCACGTCTATAAGTCAGAGACCGGTCAGTGGCATGCTCGCGGTGAACCAACTGAAATTGCTATTCAAGTTTTCGCTTCTCGGTTTAATTGGAACAGAGATCGATGGACCAAGGGCCATGATGCAATCTGGCATCAGAAAGCAGAATTCCCATTCGATTCCGACGTGAAGAAGATGTCCGTCATCTTCCACAAGATCACCCAATCGGAAGACCGGCAGATGGTGTTCTCCAAGGGAGCTGTCGAGCGCATTATCGATGCTTGCACAACCATCGTTTTGGACAAGGATACTGGTGCGGTCCCTATGACCGATGAGATCCGTGACCAGATCCTTGAGAACATGGAATCTTTGGCGAAACAGGGTCTTCGTGTCTTGGGTCTCGCTGCTCGTGAATACACCGGGTCTGTCCTCGAGGATTCAGAGATCAGCCGAGATGACGTTGAAAAGAACTTGCGATTCCATGGCTTGATTGGATTGTATGATCCCCCTCGTCCAGAGACTGCGGGTGCTATCAAGGAATGCTACAACGCCGGAATTGAAGTCCATATGGTTACCGGCGATCATCCAGGTACGGCTCGTGCTATTGCTGCACAGATTGGCATCATCCCGGCCGATATGAGCTCGGTTTCAAAGGATGTCGCAGACGCAATGGTTATGACCGCTAGTCAATTTGACAAATTGTCTGATGAGGAAATCGACGCTTTGCCCACTCTCCCGCTTGTTATTGCTCGATGCGCGCCTCACACAAAGGTCCGTATGATTCAAGCATTGCACCGACGTGGACGTTTTGCTGCTATGACTGGTGACGGTGTCAACGACTCTCCGTCGTTGAAGCATGCCGACGTCGGTATTGCAATGGGCCAGGCCGGATCTGATGTTGCCAAAGACGCTTCCGATATTGTGTTGACTGACGACAACTTCGCTTCAATCCTTAACGCCATCGAAGAAGGCCGCCGTATTTTCGACAACATTCAGAAGTTCGTCCTCCACTTGCTGGCTGAAAATATTGCCCAAGCCTGTACACTTTTGATCGGATTGGCGTTTAAAGATCAAAACAATCAATCCGTCTTCCCACTCGCTCCCGTCGAAATTCTGTGGATCATCATGATTACTTCTGGAATGCCGGACATGGGTCTTGGTATGGAAGTTGCCGCACCTGATATCATGGACAGGCCACCGCAGAGCGTACGTTGTCCCCGTTAATGCTCAATTAGTATGCACATCACGTTAACTCATTTTTTTTTTATAGAAACAAGGAATTTTCACTACGGAAATCATTGTTGATATCCTCGCATATGGTATTTGGATGTCCGCTCTTTGTCTCGCCGCATTCTCCCTTGTCATGTTCGGTTTCGGCGATGGAGATCTAGGAGTCCATTGCAACGAGGAGTACTCCGAGGTGTGCGACACCGTGTTCCGCGCCCGAGCAACAACATTTGTTTGCCTGACTTGGTTCGCTCTCTTCCTCGCCTGGGAGATGGTTAACATGCGCCGCAGCTTCTTCCGCATGCAGCCCAAGTCCAAGAAATACTTCACTCAGTGGATGTACGACGTGTGGCGCAACAAATTCCTCTTCTGGGCCATTATGGCGGGATTCATCACCATCTTCCCTCTTCTCTACATTCCTGTCATCAACCATAAAGTCTTCAAACACACCGGTATTACCTGGGAATGGGGGATCGTTTTCATCGAGGCTTTCCTGTTTTTCTTGGGCGTTGAAGCCTGGAAATGGGGCAAGCGCATCTACTTCCGACGCCGCACCCAAAGGCAAGAGAAGGTTCCCCATGGAGTGGGTGAACGGGTCGAAGACGACGAGCAATGACTCCTGCTTAAAGCTGGATTCCCACTCCAGCATTTTTCGGCTGATCAAGGCGCCTGGCTGATAGGTACGCCGCACATAGTGCTATTTGAAAATGCTGACTTGGACATTGCACATAAGCATCTTGCGTTCTGTTTTTTGGAGAGCATGAAAGAGGTATGTATATGGCTGATTTCATCGAGTATGGATGATCAAAAGAGCATACGACAGCCCGATAGGGGATTTTGTGTAGCTCGCTTTTCAGTTGATGATTGCTGTAGTGGATACCCAGTTGATTTCATAGATGTTGGAAAGGTAGAAATAAGAGTAGTTTTAGGTAGCTATAAAAAAAGTAATTTTATCTTGCAATTCCTCTGTCCTGGCCTGTAAATTGAGACACGTCGAAGTTGTAGAAATTCGATTTCAGATGCCCTGATGTCTTTAACAACGGTGGTGAAACTCGAGTGGTGGGGTGTTGCTGCCGACGAGCGGGAAAAAAAAAGCAATTTGGGCATCGAGCATCGAACACGCGACTTTGTTGAAGCTCAAGAACCCACCTCTTTTTAGTGGCTCCGCAGGGCGACCGGAGACATCGCGATCGCTGGACGAGCAAATGTTTTCGTTGGACATTTTTTGAGCCCGTAAAACCCGAACAAATACGTATACCCACGCTTCTTATCCCTCTCGATGCCGAGACCCAATCCCCGACGACCGATCTTCCCCAGCGAAGACGGCGCATTTGCGTCAACAGCAAGAGCCGATATACCGCAGCTAGTGTCTCCCAGGCCACCGAACAATATCACCGGCTCAGCAACCACCACTGCTCCATGGCAACACCAGAACCACCACCGGCGAGTAGCAATCGGGCCGTCTGGACGAGGTTTAGCGGTGCAAGGCGGGTTGCTCGCTGACAACCAACATTTTCAACACGCGGAAGAGCCTTTGGGGAGCTTGGAAGACGAGGACTTCGATGAGGACGATGACAACGATCTCGAAGAAGATGAAGAGGACGAAGGGATAGAAGACGATGAGGATTATGATATGCAAGATGACTGTATGTCCTTTTTTTTTTTTTTTCTGGCCCGCTTTTCTTTTACATTTACTATCCTCCCTTCTCATGCCTATAACCAACCCTACTGATGAGACGCTTCACTCACTGTTTTCTAGCCAAGGACGTGTCGTCTCCGATCCCTCCAAACCTCCGCGAGATCTCCTCTTTGGCTTCATGGACCGTATCAACGCACAAGCCTGGCTGCGGCGTCACCGCCCTACGTCACCCTTCCCCGTCCCAATTCTGGCAATCCGACGGGCCGCAGCCCCATACCCTGACCCTGCACTTTTTTAAACGCGTTGCCGTGGTTAGAATACGCGTCTACCTCGACTTTGAGCTGGACGAGAGTTACACACCGACTAAGATGGTGTTTTTGGCGGGCATGGGTGGAAATGATCTGGTTGAATTTGCTACTTGGCAAGGTGAGGCGCCGTGCGGCTGGGTAGATATTTCTTTGGATGGGGTTGGTGGGAGGCATGAGCGACGGCCGAGAAGGAGAAAGAGAGAGGTCAAAGGGAAAAATAGCGTTCTGAAAAGTTCGAGAAAGAAAGACCACAGGGAATATGATCACCATGTGGACGCCGGGGGAAATAGCGACAGTGAAGATGACGGTGACAGCGATGCTTATGATGACCTTTTTGATAATGATGACCCTTCTGCAGGAAATGTCCTGAAAGCCATGGTGATTCAGGTCCGGATCTGCGAGAATCATCAGAACGGCAAGGATACTCATGTGCGAGGCTTCCAGGTTTTCGCTCGTGATGACAGATACTATACCCGCACACGAAGAGACAGCACTCGCAAATCTTTACGATCAAGCGGTGGAGCAAGAAAGGATGCCGGTGACCTGCATCCCACTGAGAGCGATCAAAGGGGCAATGACCTGGAAAACGGGATGGCAACAATTGATGAATCCGAGTGGTTTCTACAACCTGAAATCCGTTAGGATTGCGCTCCTAAAATACGTTTCAGAGTTGGGACGAGCCGCGAGTGTGCATTTGTTTTTATTATGGTGCTATTTCATTCCTGTTTTGTGATACCCAAATGCATTCTTAACATGGTCGGCCCATATTGGGCTCAAAGATGACTATTATTTTCATCGCATATGCATATCCAACCCTTCAAACATTATGCAAGGAAATTACCAAAGCTATGTGTCAGGGTCAATACCCTTTTTTCCCTTCCCGATTTCAGAGAGATTTCTCGAGCTCTGCTGCAACTGCATCACCGACTTCGCTCGTGGTTGCCTTTCCACCGATATCTCCGGTTCGAATTCCAGCCTCGATTACCTTCGATACTGCATCCTCGATGGCCTTTGCTTCTACTGGTCGATTCAGGGAATATTGGAGCATCATGGCCATAGAAAGGATGGCAGCAACTGGGTTAACGATACCTTTTCCAGCAATGTCTGGTGCAGAACCTATCGGATTTTCATATTAGTTGGATGGGAAACTATTCGAGAAAAGGGGCATGTTGCATACCATGGATAGGCTCATAGATTCCGTTCACTCTGGACTTCCCATCTGGGATTCCACTCAAGCTCGCGCTAGGGAGCAAACCCAAGGAGCCTGGGATAACGCTTGCTTCATCACTGATGATATCTCCAAATAGATTGCTGGTGACTATGATACCGTTGAGCTTCCGTGGGTCTTTGACCATCAACATTGCCGCACTGTCAATGAGGTGGTGGCCAAATTTCACTTGTGGGAATTCCTTTTCCATGATCTCGGTCACCACTTTGCGCCATAAGCGGCTTGTTGCGAGCACATTAGCCTTGTCCAAGCTCCATACTGGCAGCGGGGGAGAATGCTGCAACGCGAGATGACCTGCAAGACGGGTAACTCGTTCAATTTCCGCCCGTGAGTATGGTTCTGTATCCAATGCTGTGCCATCACCGTTGTCTTCCTTTCTTTCACCAAAGTATATTCCACCAGTGAGCTCGCGTACGATGTTGAAGTCAACGCCACGGCAAACATCGGCCTTCAGCGGGGAGATATCAACGAGCGAAGGGGCGGCAAAATTGCAGGGTCTAAGATTTCCAAAAGTACCCATTTCTTTCCGTAAGCGGAGGATCCCTTGTTCGGGGCGAACAGCGCCTGTTCCCCATTTCTATTCCCCGAAAGGACTCGTTAATCACTCACAACACCCTATGGAACCTTGCTGGGCAGTGAGGGACATACAGGGCCGCCAACGGCTCCGAGGATCACACCGTCTGCATTCTTTGCCGCTTGGAGAGCTTCGTCTGTCAGGGCGGTTCCGGTAGCGTCTATGGAGGCCTGAAATATCGTGGTAGGTAAGCGAATTGTTCAGTTTGGAGCTTGACTGACGGTTCTGTCGGCCAACAGAGTCATCGGACTTACGCCACCAAGCAAATGCTCTTGGAAATTAAACTCGATATCGGTCTTTTTTTCTACTACTTTGAGGACCTGGCTCGTGAAACTGGGACGTCAACCCTTCTGTCGCCATGCTTCCGCTTAATCCTGTAGTATTTACAAGCTAGACCGCACGCACCTTGATTGCCTCTGCAGTTACCTAGGATCAAATTTATTGTTAGTAAAATCCCTAGATAGTGATTTCTCAAAAATTGCAAGCTATCCACTTCATAGTAGAGGTCCTCACCTCTGGTCCACAGTAGTCCCCCGCGAAGACGACAATGTTGAATTTGGCCATGATACTTTTCCGTCCTGATGCGGACAATTAGACTCTAGAATACAACTAAGGACACAATTTTCAATTTCTTGAAACAAGCCTGGTATGAATTGGTGATGATGCGAGCTGGAAATCTTGCTTGGTGAGGATTTGGAGCTCCTTGCCCCGCTATCCGATATCGGCTTTGGTGGGGAGGAACTCTTTTATTTGCTAGCCGCTTCTGGAACCCTGAACTACTCCCATCCAACTCCGTATCGATCCCATTTACGATCCTGCCATCACACTGTTTTGCGCCGTTCAGCTCACCCCTCGTTTACCATTTCTGAAAGTTTCGATATTGCTTGAGGATGAAGATAGGACGTCCACGAAGGTGGAAGCTGCTTGCCCCTGAATAACTAACGTCCTCCAACCTTAGCGCTGGCCATGCTAATGTGGGCATCGACGATTCAACTACAACTATTCCCAAGATACCCTTTGGAGATAATTTGAATATAGGCCCACGAGAATAAAATCCACTTTTCGAAAGATAAAGAACCAAAATGACTAATTATTGCGTACTGTCCTACCTATATGCGCACTCGAAAGAACAGTTCTCGATAGTCAAAACACCGTTGAACAAACCTTAGGTCTCCATGGGCTTTTGCCCGTGAATGAAATGGAACTGGCTATAGAGGTGGTTTTTCGGGTCTTTGAACTCTGCGCGGACCCCAGCAATCAGTACTTCGGTTTCTTCCACAGTATACCCCATCACCCTGGTATAGAGGGCCATCATGAATGGTTCCAGGGAAGAAAGAACTTGTACTAATTGATAGCATCCAAGCTTTTTCATTTTCGGGTCCTTGGGCCAAGATCCAATGGGAATCTGAAGCATATGTCAGGTTGCAAATTTCATCGGCAGCAAAAGGCTCGCAATGATAAACCCTTGCCTCACCTTGTAAACATCATCCTTAACGTTGACAAACCCGGCATCGATCAATCTCTGTTTGTGTGTTCCTGCCACATTAAACTGCTTCCCGAATTTTGCACTGGCTTCGTCTCCCACGCGCTGAAACTTTTTGATCAAACGTGCGTTGTCTAAGCTGTTGTCGTCGGAATGCACGTCTGTCTCATATTCTTGCATTTCAATCCAGCCTCCGGGTTTTAAGTGTTGGTACGCCCGTTCGTACAGCTGGTCCCAATTTGCAATGCTACCTCCCATCCCACGTCCATGGATAAAATCGAATTCCTCTCCCGGTTGATAGGGCCACTCGCTCTCGACATCGTCCACGTAGAATTTGCAGTTGGGCGGGATCCACGTCGGTTGAATTGGGCTCAGATCAGTGCCAATGACCTCGCTACTCGGAAATTCGTCAGCAATATCGATCGCCCATATTCCTAAAAGACACTCCTTGTCAATAACTTCTCATGCGACCGGTTGCAGTTGGAGGCCGAGAAATTAGAATCGCATTCACCTGTTCCAGTTCCAAAGTCGAGGATTCGCTGTGGGTTCGACGGGAGAGGCGCACGATATAATTCACCGCCGAGAGTCATGCGGAAGATGTGGTGCAAAAGATCTAAACGGTCTTGCTCCTTCTCATCATTCGGAAGAAGGTCTGTCACAAAGGTCTTTGGTCAACACCCTTTGAAAGAGCAAGGCATCTGATAGAGCCCGCCTGGAGACTAGAGAGGCTCACATTCACCGGCTCGATAGGCGTGATAACGGCGTCCATTTTCGTATTTATAATTGAATACAGAAGAAGCTATGCTTGTGCTGGTGTCTGAATCGAACGATTCTATATCGTCATCGCTGGTCTTGAACAAAGTTAGACAGCGCACAGGCCCCGTTGGATAAATGAAAGACACACATCAATCGCTATGTCGGTATTTGGCTCGACCGGCTGATGGTCGCTTCTGAGATCAGGCTCCTAACAGTTCATCAATGGAGGCTCCTGCAAGCTTTGGCTTTCTGTTGAAGATCATTTGAAGTCCATTGTAAATACGACGGATGGGGAATACCTTTGCTTCAGCTTGAACGGCGCTCGCCATAGTACTTGCTTTGCGTGATATACCTGTTAGGGAATACAAAATGGGGAAGTTTGGGATAAGTATCGATAGAGCCACTTTTTATTGAGGGAGCATTACGAATAATCTGGAACGGGGTTTGGAGGTCAGCGGTTCAAAGAGAATACGGGGTATAGAAAGCGAAAGTTCCAGCCGCAGGGGAGAGTGATCCATGTCCGCAGTGTTCCCCACTGGTATTTCAAGAAAACCGTCGAAGACAAACGTTGCGACATGGATTGATAGCGCTATGATGAAAGTTCCTGTCACAAACCCCGGGCCGCTTGCGAAAGATTAAACGTTACAATGGCTAACACGCGCCAAGTTTAACAGGCGCTTTTTAAGTGAGTTACCCTACTCCTTGACATATTACTCGAAGGAGTGAACCCGGACAAAGTTGCAATCTTGAATTTACTACTTCGAACGGAGTATGGAGTATCCAAATCGGCAAGGGACGCCTCTGGATTAGTTAGTTAGGTTGCGGGAGATCTTCGTACTCTGACCACTCCGTAGTTAGTGAATTCAACACATTGCAAACACCGCGCTACAATCAAAACTGGAGAGGCCGTTAACCGACAAAATTTTTGGTAACAGGGATGATCTTAACTCGAATCCGGCCCATGGGCGAAATACGACCCGTGCGAATGTTTTCGGTAAAAAGGCACACTTGGCCGAGGAGGGGAAAATGACCATCCTTGAAGGGAGGAGATTACTCCATACGGAGTACTCCGAACATGCATTCGGGCTCATAATGACCTAGATGAAGAAATGCGTCTGTTTCAACACTTGCTGGTGAGGCTCCCATGTGCGTATAATTTTGGGATGCGCACTCAGCACGCCAGGATACGACGATGCCTTACCTGTCATATTGCTATATACTTATATGAGTACTGATAGGGCTGAACACAAATCTCAAGGTGCTTGATAATCGTGGGAATTCTATTCTGAGTCCTAAACGTGCTTCTGTCCCCCCCAACCTCCGCCCAGGACCGGCCTTTTATAACTCCTTGAATTGCCGCTACCCTCTCCGAAGCATATGCGCATGAGTACATCCATCCGTAGACGAGGTTTGGACCATCTCCAGTCCAAGACGGGATGTACCTCTCGAAAGCATCTCTTCTCCAACTCCAGACTAACCCTTCCGGTAGTTCATGTTTCGGTACCGGACAGATCCCTCCCCAAACCGAGCGTCGTATTTAACTCATCCCCAGGGGGTGTGTGTGTGTGTGTACGTTTTCCAAATCGTATCTACTCCATAAACACTTCGGTCATTGACCCTTTTCACAACCCATCAGGCTTCTTGGGTCAGCAATGTACTCAGAAATGACCCGTTTCCGCTAAAGGAAGCGAAAAGATCACCTAGTTGCTGTCTAGATACTCTGCACGGTGTTGCCCATTTCCTTTCATTTCTTTTTAGCCTAACCACATAAGTCACACAGTCTCAGCGATCGGTCGCGCAGCGGCGACACCATGTATCCCCGAAAACGCCTCAGATACTAATCCAGTTTTCAAACTCAAGAGTCGGACTAGACACGATTCCGACAGTTCCGGACCACAAAAGCGACTCAAGCGTTCCGAATAGCAAGATTGTTCTTTCATCCGACGTCGTGAACCCGATTATCCCCAGCTTTTTCCCCGCGGAGAGAGAAAAAAGAAATCATACAATCTTCCGCATAAATCCGGTGAAAAATCGATCTGATTGGTATAAATATCTGAGCGTCGATTCCGTTACTCACTGCTAACCTCATTGGGTCGGTATATACAATAATACCTAACCATCTTCCCATCCACCGAACCATGTGGAATAGCCCATTAATCCAGCTTTCCGATCGTCTATATGATACAGGAATAATAAGAATGCATTGGAGGGAAAAATAAAAGCAAAAGAAAACATAATAAACTAAAAGAAGGTAGCTAATTTTGCGTAGAGAACATCAAGTCAACAGAGTAAGAAATAGGGCAAAAGAACTGCAAGAATAAATGAGTATACACCCAAAAGAAAAGGAGCAGAAGGGAGAAACATGTTGCAAAGTTCGCGACGGCACCTGTCCATGGACTCCAACAATAAGAAGGGAGATATCCCTTGCAATTTGGACGAAAAACATCATTTCAAGAGAGTAAAAGCAAGTTAAAGGTTAAGTGGAATGATAACGTTGTCACGTATCTGACGGAATGAAAATGTGGGGTTCAGCGGATGTCAAAGGCACTCATTTTCAGATCACAACGGAGGGTGTGGAAGTGTGCCGATCCACGAGGATTTGAAAAAGGGCCTTCAAGCTCTCAAAGATTACTTGGTCTTGGACAGGCCTAGCTGGCGGCGGCGGGCAAGGTCGCCTTCCGCAAGCCACTTGCTAGCCTTGACCATCTGAACAATGTTAATGAACTGCTTAGCAGCCATAATCGGAGCGGAGATCCCGGTGATAACCCAGGGCCAGAAGCTGTCCATCTTGTTGGCTCGCGCAAGTTCCAAGGCACCAGCGCTCCAAGGACTCGCGAAAAGAGTCGAGATTGGAGGCATGGCTGGTGTGCCGGGTTGCCCAGATCCTGCGCTTGTACCATCACCGACCGGCTGGAGGAGCGATGGAGAGAGAGTCGGGGATGAAAAGGAGAGCAGGTAGAGGCCAATGAAAAATAGCTCATTCATAGTGCAGAAGACGAACAAGACCATCTACAGCCCCAGGATGTTAACAATCAAAGACTTGGCACCATCTGGGCAAGCTCACCTTATTATTATAATATTGGTATAGGATCCAACTCCTGCTTGAGTCCACTTTCTTGTGGCTCTGGCCTGATCCACCCATGGTCAGCGTGGCATACATATGCATGTAATGACTGGCGAGATCCAAACTGATCAGGCCCTGGAACAGAATCGCCCAGCGAGGCCAAGCGGAGCTCAAGAAAACCAGCAGACAAGCCGTTGTACATCGATCGGTAACCATATCCAGCACCGCCCCAAAGGTTGTGGATTGGTTATAAAAACGGGCCGCATATCCGTCAAGTGCATCGAGAAGACAGGAGATGCTATAGAGTAGGGAGCACGTTCGAGGATGGAGAGGCATGTAGTAGAGAGAGGCTATCGCCAGCACGACTCGAATATAGCCTGTCGCCAGTCACAATTGAGATCAGTACACGGGAAACTAGGCCACCAGAGCAGACAGATTCACAAACATACCAATTATGTTAGGCCAGAACAGGAAAATATTCTCCTTCTGTTCGCCCCGCGTGGATGAAACTCCTTTATGTTTGGAGCCCTTGCGAATTGTGCCGTTGGTATCAACAGATGCGCTGTCATATTGAACTGGTGATGGCTCAGAAGCCTTTTGCTTTTTCCCTCGACCGGTCATCTTCTGCTGTATTGCGGTGTAGTAGGTAGTGCGAGGTTGTTGCTGACGACTCTTATGTTATTGAACAATGTGCAACTCAACCAAGCTAGTGATTCGGACAACACGATACCACTAATTGTTGATAGACAGTCTGGAAAGAGTTCGCATGCAGGGGTAGCAAAGAACACTGATCGCTGTCTGGAGGAAGGGTGTTGGTCTATTGCGGTTCCTTATGTAGTTGCTGGATGCACCTATTCGATCGTGGCGAGAACAAACCGTCAGCAATGACTTCTTCTGCCAGCACATGTCCTTCTTCATACTTTGTAGACAAATGAGAAACAAGGTTCCCTCTGCACTATCAACTAAATACAGAAAGGAGGGGAAATGTTCGCACCGCAATCAATTCCTGTTTTAGCTGTCTGACTCTCAAGTTCCTAGAGGGCCCAATATTCAATCTCAGAGCTAGTTCGTGAAGACACCAAATCAAATTAGATGTAGAGAAAAGAAGTGAAATGAGGAACAGAATAAAGGTTGGTTAAGTAATTGATAAAAAGGAGTGATTAAAATATGCCTTGCTGGGGTACAAATAGAAGCTGTAAAAAAGGAGCGTGTCGAAAGGGATGCTGGCTTGATGACAGTATGAAGTTCAAGAAGACATCGACCGAGGGCACAGGCGGCTTGGAGAGTGGGAGTGCCAGTTGAGATTAAAAAGGCATATAGCTGCGCGGTAGAGAAATTAGACGAATGAAAAGAAAAGGTGTCGCTTGCTCAGGTGTTTGCTCTCTTCCCGCATGTCCAGGTGTGCGGTGCTGGATGATGTTTTTTTTGGGTTTGCGGAGCTTGGAGATTGAATTTTGCCTAGCGGGGCCGCCCATTCCGATTGCTCCAACGCGTGCCTTGGGGGCCGTTGAAACTCTTTTAATCTGCGCCAGGATGATCCCCATGCCTCTGCGGAATTCATGCTGTCATTAAAAGATTATTTTATGTATGTACATACAATGGTATCCGGTCTATAAGGAAATTTTGGTAGGAATATAGTGCACGAAAAAGAGTTATCTTGCAGGATCCAAGCCAGAAAAAAAAGGATGTAAAAAAAAAAAAAAGAAAGAAAGAAAAGAAAATGAGGCATTCAAGCAAATAATCATGAACACATTTCGTAAGTATGCATGGCGGAAGAACAAAAAAACAAATGTAATGGCAATCCAAGTACGGAGTATATGGGGTAAAATCTATAAACCCATTTGAAAAGTGGTCAAGTTGAACGGCGAAGCTGCTTTTCTCATGCTCGTCGCCCTCGCGGAACGGAAGCCTCCTGTTTCCGCCAATCTCTCGACTCTTTTGTGCCCATACTGCCCAGCCCCCCTTCTAGACGTCGTTCCCAACCTCCCAATCGTACCACCAGGCATGTTGCATTGTCGCCATCTTTCGATACCTCGGTCGCAAAGTTGACGACTTCGCGAGCACCAGCGTCTGGCGTCCTTGCTTCTTTGATGATGTCCACGATCTCCTGGTCTGACAAAGCGCCGCTCACTCCATCAGACATCAAGACCATGAACGAATACTCCGCGGGCCCCATTTCAACCCGCCTGGTCTCGGGCTCTGCCGATATTCCGATGCGCTTCGACTGGATGTCCCCAAATGCTCTGCTGTTCGCCAGCCCGCTAATGCGCTCTTCTCCAAAAGAGTCTGTGACGAGTGAGGTGGCATAGCGCCGCAACCTGTTACTCTCGACTGGAGAGGAAGGATGATGGTCTGTTGTTAGTGGAATAGCGATACCCGTAGCAGTAGAGCATAATAAAATTCGGGTGTCGCCAACGTGTGATACCACCAATGACGATGGTGCCGAAGGGTGCCAAAAGGGAGCCGGTGTGGGGGTGGAGATCATGGCAATGCTGCAGGTGCTTCCACCCTTGAACCGAGTCGATCCTCCCACGACGGCATGTCTCAGTCGTCCTGGATTGTGAAGGATATCGAGCTCATTTAAGGGCCTTTCGGCGCGGGCGGAATCATCGTCCCGTTTGAAAGCTTGGGCACTAATAAAGTCATAATCGGCCTTCAAAAAAGCGTATTCTAGCACCTCTTCAATAGGCACGCCCATAGTCATGTCTAGTCCGAGATTGTGCCGTCCAGGCTTGAATCCGTCAGTGTGAAGGTCGTCCTCCCCGAAATAGCAGAAATGAGCAGGCCTAAAGCGTCTAAAATACCCGCCAACCAAGGTTCTCCAGTCGGTAACTAATGCTTTCTCAAGGTTGCCGATTGCCAACCTATTTCCCGGTTGCAGTATCGGAAGATCACCGGAGAGCATAGCGTTTCCCCCGTGGGCTTGGCTCGAGGACGCAAATGTTGGCTCGAGGTCATCAAATCTATGACTGTAAGCATTCTGACTCTCTCGAAAAGCCTCTCTGTTCCGGATAGGCCTGGGAGGCAACGCTTTTTTCTGTGCATTCTTCCCAAGGCTGGACCCCAACTCAAACGCTATCGCAGTCTCTTGAATATATCCATGTAGTCTATCCCTCAAGAACTCACTACACACCGTTCCTCCATGCCCGTCGAACACGCCGAAATAAAACACTTGAGGGTCGCCAATTGCATTTTCCGCAACCGGGTGTTCCACATGTGCATACTCTTTGTCTCCGGACCGCTTGCCAATTGTCAGGGAAAGCGGAGGTCGCTTTGCAAATGCTGGGAGTTCAATGACACCTGCTTGATATGTATCTTCATTTGTCGGACGAGACCCTCGCGACACGGATGCACCGAAATGATGTTTCGCGCTCCGGAGGGGAATGCGTACAACTGTAGTTTCCCGCGATACGCCGACAGGCGACAGGACGGTGGCGGGAGATGCGCCCTCAGAGGAGCTTATGTGAGGAGTGGACTCTGAGCGAGGAAGATGGTGAGGTGGCCCGGCCGACACGCGGGAATCCGGGTGGAGAGAGGAGACCGGTAGGTGGGTGACGAAGTAATCATGGAAATATCGCCGCTCAGACTGCCTGGCTGCGGCGGAGGCATGCTGAGGGGGTTGTTGAGATCTCGAGCCTGAGACGGCGTCAGTATGCTGGCGGCGTATGAATGTTGCGATAAAGCCTTGTGGTTGGGCAGTGAGAAAGAAGGTCAGCAAAACCTAGTCGGCTAAAAAGCAGGTCTGGAGCGGAAGGCCGGACATACTGTAGGTGTCAGCAAGTGTCCAAGCATGGACTCTCGCCGGTTTCACAAGCCGTGAACTCATTGAAACATCGATACAAACAGCGCCTTGAGAGCTTCAGAGAGAGGAGAAGATGGTCAGCACTGGAGGGTTGACATGTCTCCCAACCCTCCGGATTAGAGGCTGACCTTGCAAAAATAAATTATACGGATCCTGCAGTCGATCTGCAACCTCATTAGTCTTGCATGCATGGATAGGCTTGGATGGATGGCTTGGATGGCCGGGCATGCCAAACTTCGCTGCGCCGTCTACCCAATCCTGCCAGCCGGCTAGCGCCTTGGCGGCCCATCCTCACCAGCGAGTGATCCTCGTGGGCCGGCCTCATAGTTGAGCCCTCGCCAATCCGAAAGTTGAAACGAGGCGTTTCCAAGCCAAAGGTCTATCGCAGATGCTTGTTTGTCTGAAAACCCCATACTCCGTGATGCGAATGTCATCGCCGGACCCTTATGTGATGCGGAATTTCCATAAACACCTCGACATCGCTGCCGGTATCGGGCTGGGCATCCATCATCCTGTTTGTTCGGGGTTTCTGCCAGAAGGAGACATCTCCCACCGCGACTTGAAATGCCTACGAAGTAACTACTAGCTCTTTGGCAGGCATGAACAGGTACAGGATGTTAAATGATTCATGATAGCTTAATTGAGTGACCACCAATTCTCTTAGACAAGAACTTTACGCCGCCTCTTACTCATCACAGCCCATTGGAGAAACGATCCATATTGCAGAGAAGGAGATCCATAGGTGGAACATACATACAATTCCGAATCAATCTACATAAGCTTTCCTCCCCTTATTTCAAATCCAGCGAATGATGCCAGCACGAAAGAATAGTAGGCAAACTCTTGGACATGAAAATAAAGCAGTTCTGCAACAAAATATTTTAGACCTTCCGGAACAAGCTTGAGCGATAGATATTCGCTCGGGAAGTGTTTGCTCAACATATTGAAGGTCTTACAAAATATATGATTTCTTGGATATTGCCATCCAGTCCGTGCACTCTAAACTCCGTATGGAGTACCGAGTGAATCTTTGTGTTTCCTCATTTATCCATCTCATGGAGTGTTTAAGGAAGTCCTGGCCACATTTCCTTTGAATAGGCCTCCTTTGAGCTACTTTGATTCCAGATACCCGCAACGATGAACTGGTTTGGAACCACTTTGAGAGGGTCTGGGCGAGCACGTCCTATCCCGATTATCCTGCCTCGCGTCACTTGAAGGTTTGAGGACAAGCTTGATAAAGGGCTAGATGAATGATGGAACTCCTGCGCCTTCGGGCGAAGTTAAGCTTAACTCCGAGGTTAGATGTTGCACGGAGTATCCGTCAAATAATAATATTTGGCGTAGTTTCCAAGGGACCTGACCAGCTCAAAGGAGAAATTCCGCTATTTCATTGATTTCAAGCACTGAGCTACGCTGTCTGGATTGAGTGTATTGCACGAGACCTTTGAATATGCCAGTGCATTGTATAGGTCCTGGATAATAAGGGTCAATGTTTTTGTCCCTGGCACGAATTCGATCGATCTTCCTTGCCATGTGTCTCTACCTATCTAAGATCTCAGCGGACCTGACTCTGAAGACAGGGCGGCTAAAGACATAGTAACCAACGGCCCAGCACCAGCAATCTCCAACTCCCGATATGCATATGTGGTTATGTTCCGGCTCTTTGTAGTTCATCACCGCGCGCACATCGCCCTTCGTCTGCCGATTCCCTGTATCGCATCAGCCACTAGTGCCACAAGTATATACAGGGTGCTTTCATGACTCACCCAATTTCTGCATCGGTTTGGTGGGCAGCAGTTAGGGTTATCAAGGCAGTCCTGGTAGAGCTCGACACATTGGTGAGCTCGCATTTGAAGACTGGTACCAGTGTCTGCGCCTGGGACAGCCTCCACCCGAGCAACTGCGAGTGTGACGCTAGCGAAGAAGAGAAGCACGCCGAATTGCATGTTTGCGAACCGCCTATACTACTGCAGTCAGCATTGAACCGTCTAGCCTAGGTGTACCGTTCCAGTGAGGTTTGTGGATCAATGTGTGTGTATGGGTTCGGGAAGTGATACTCAAGGCTCCTGATCGAGGATTAAGACATTTCAGGGAAAGTTTACTGGGGCTCTCTGCTGGCTTTTATATTACATCAAAACGATCAGGATCTGATGAGGCATATTCTGTTAGCGTACGGCGTATGCAATATGCATATTTAGCTATCTGCTGTGTTAGTGCAACACAACGCATGATCGTCCTTGTATGAGCATTCTTAGCTACGGAATGATTACTGCTACTGTCAATACAGCACCAAGCAGGACAAAAAAAATAACCCTGCTAAGAAACATGCGTCATTGGCTCTTTTTGTCGGGATCCGCCGTCCCCGGATGGTTAGCTAAATGATAAAGTAGACGCTATTCTAGGTGTCTGAAGTCATTTTTACGAAAACATTTCGCTGACCTAGAACAATGTGGTCAATACGGAGTTCTATTCAACATTATTAAAAGCAAGTGAAACATGCTAGTATGACGCTTTTGCCCCCGCTGACCATGTACACCAACTGGGTTGGGTTGCACATCGTTCACCATCTACCATGTCCAACGCCCGTGATCGGAGATGGCCCCCAGTATATACATAATCTTTTTGGCGTACAGATTCGAAGGGGCTAAAAGAGGTGTTACAAAGCGAGAATAGAAATTTCGGCGGGCAAGTGGTCCACGGGACGTTTGCACATACCACAATCACCCGTTGAGCAGCTCAATAGCAATCACTGACTCGTTTATTTGCTTGAATCCAAGCCCCCGATTGCCGGGAATATTGGGTGGATAAGGCGCCTTCTAGCGCGGAATTAAACCGTTACCTGGGGCTGTGTGAGTCAAGTCACTGCGTTCCCAACCATCAGAGAAATCTCCCAGATACGTTGTTTCTGAGATGGTAGGACGTAGAGAGACTATGACTTTTCTCGCCTCGGTGCTCCCTTGTGAATTAGTGACGTGTCGCCGGGAAACGCGACGGCATAAGGGATAAATTCCAGCATGGTAAGGGGTTGGCCATTGAAGGATGAGAGGAATGAATCAGGCCCTTAGGCGTACTATCCACGGGCTGCATCCTAAAAAGACAGGCAATGGTTAATCGCTGGGTGGAAGCATAAGGGCAAACTTGGAGACCCACACAATGGCAGCAGGAGCCAGGAGGGAGGCCTGGATCGTTAAGACCGGTGAAGGGGCCGTACGGCTGGAATGATTTGCAAAGTGAAGAGGATAGCATGGAACCACTGTCTAAGAGAATACTTAAGGCTCACACGATCGGATATCATTTGGGGCAATTAAGTGTAAGTTGGACGCGTGCGGCCTGATGCACCATAGCTGCATGCCAAACAATCGAAGCACCAAGACACTAGGCTGCCTTTTTTGCCGCTCCCGCGCTCCCTTCCTTCAACTCGAGCTTCCCAAGCTGAGCGGGGGCAGAAGAGCTTCGCGTCCTCCGTACTATCTTTCCCTGGCGTGCTGGGTTTGAAGGTGCTTTCACCAAGGGCTTAGCTCTAGGCATAGTTGGCCTTGGTGGTGATGCTTGCGGCCCCGCCTCTCCAAGGGGCGTTTTCGAGGGTCCTCCGGCGGTAAGATACCCTCCCTGTTTCCTGGAGCTTTCTAGCTAACGCTGGCAGCGGAGCCAAGTCCTTTTCAACCACGAATTCTCCATCTGCCACCCGCCGCAACTGGCCTGGAAACTGAATATTTACGTTGCGGAAGCCGATCTTTGGCGTGATATTTAACGTGATAATTCGTGGAGTCCCTCCTTCAAAGCGAACGTTGACTGGACTGTATTTGATATTGAACTCGTACGGTCCAGAGTGCATGTAAAGAGATACGTTGTGAGCAGCTTTCATCACTTTAGCCAGGTCAACCCAGGCCTGGGTTCCCACGGAGTAAATGAATGGAGAGAGCTGCTCAAACAACGCGTTGGTATTCTCGTTCATGCGCTTGTGGAAAAAGTTTTCGAAAAAGAGCCGGTTGCGAAGACGCAGCACTTGCAATCCTATTGCGCCATAAAATGAATCACGTCTTTGGGCATGAAGCTCTACAGCATAGAAAGGAGTTAGCAACAGAGTTTATGGTGAGAAAACCTTAAGCTAGGCTAAGAAGAGGAAGTGAGCTTACCATCAGGAAGAAGCCTAGACATTCGCGAGATATCCATGTCGATTTCTCGATCAAAACCTCTGAAAACATCCAAGCACAAAACCGATCTCATGAGGAAGGTGGCGATAACCTTGGTAATCGCCAGGAATCGGTTTTCATTTAGCAGCAACAAAATTGCAGATGAAACGTCGGCAGCAAAGTCTAAGTTCACTCTGAATTCATCACTCATGGCGTTATAGCCGGTGTCCCAGTCATCTCGCGTCTTGGAGTATTTCTTCGCCCAATCTTCTATGCTTCCGAAAAGGGACTTAAACTCCCTAGTGAAAAACTCGGCAGTGAAGATTGGGTCTCGGATCGTGTTGTCCTGTGGCCCGGCAAACAGAGACGCGAAAGTCGTTGATGTCGCACTGTTCGTCGCGGCGTTCGAGTCGCACAACCGTGAGCTCGCTTCGATCGAGGTACCGGTGGTCGTCTGTTGTGGTTTCGACCGAGCTCTGAGTTCAGCGGGCAACACAACAGTGCTGAGGTCGATTTCCGGCGGAAGCTGTTCAAAGATTCTCTGAAGATGCGAATTCTCCGAGTCCGCTTCGACATCAGTCTTGGGGGAAACACGTCTCTCAGACTTTGCAAAGCGAGCAGCACGTTGTAGCCACTTCTTAGGTTTGAGCACCAAGGACTTCAAGCCACTTGATGACTTCTCTACCTTCTTGCTCGCGGTGGTGTCGTGCAAGGAGGATTCCAGCTTGAGAACCTTGCTTTGCAAGGCGAGAATAAGATCACGATCTCTTCTGCCTTGGGCTTCCGCATGACAGAGCTGTGCATTTAAACGCTCCAACGCTTCGGTGAGCCGAAGACGCGACTGCTCCAGCTCGCGGACCAGCCTCAGTTGCAGAAGAGCTGATACCCCTCGAAAGGATGGATTCGAGTCCATCTTCCTAGGAGCACCTCACCCTTTCAAAGAATGAGCTTGAAAGTTCGAAAAAGAGAAACGAGAGCTTTGAAGGAATGTTTGGAGGCTTATATAACCTATAAAATTGCAAGGTGGTCACGGAGGAGGGTAAGGACGGAGAGTGAAGATAGATGTCAGCAGTGAAGTTGTTTGTTGCATAAAAAGGCGTAAGTTGTCACGGTGGCAAGATTCCGGAAGATGCTATGACTGTAGGGAGAAATGCGATACTTCTTCCGGCGTCAGGTGCTTAGTCGGCGACATTATATGTGAATGATGCTGTTTCCCTCTCGCTCAAAACTGCACGTTTTCAATCAGCGTGCTGCTAAAATGATACTTATAGCCCCTGTACAATGGTGGCATATGGACACAATGGCACAATGAGAAACTCATCAGAGAATATCAAGTCCAGAAGGCCCGCATATTGACTCCTTTGAAAGACCAAAGGGGAGAGTATGGACAAAAATGGGTATTGTAGAAAGCAATGTGGGATGAAGAAATGAACAAAGCCAGGGGACCTGGCTTCAAATTGCCGTCACTCAAGTATGCAATCACTTCAAGGGGGTGAAATACTTGGGGGATTAGCCGCACATCACAATCAGTGAAGTTAAATCTAAGCACGCATATGTGTCGAAAGTCTCCGGACCGATTACACCTTGCTCGGGAAGTAGCTGAAAGTTAGAGGAAGGATTTGGACCATTTATGGAATGAAACCATGCATTATAGAGAAAGCTTAGAAAGAGAACAGCACTAATTCATTGAATGGGATAAATTACAAAGACGGGTTGCTCACAAAACCAGGTGATGGGATGAAGGTCATTAAGTTGCAATCAATGGGTATGTAATCCGGCGCTTGAACTGGATCCATACTTTTGAGGTAATCGAGTTAAAAAAGACATGAGCGAAACCTAATCCAATGTCAGATATCAAACGCTCGGTGATGCTGGGGGAAAATTTGCCGATGTTCTCCAGTTGCGCGACAAGTTTCCGCCAAGTTTCCTCATGGCAATACCTACCACGCCTCTTTCTTAACAAGGAGGTAATCGGGGTCTGAAAGGCGGTGACTAAATGGCCTTCGTGCGAGAGAATAGGCTGCTATATACGGCGTCGACGACAGGTTGTGCGGTGATTTGGCGTCCACCAAAGAATCGGCCGTTCAAGCCTTTGATAGCATTCTCTCCGCCCTGGACACGGTCAAATTTGAGATAGATATCACCTTGCGCGTTCGGGTCTAAAGCAATGTGGACAACATGGCCATATTTTTCCTCACACTCAGCGCGGACATCGTCTTCAAGTTCCTTGACCCAACTATCGCCTTCTTCCCTATAACAAGTGTGAGTAATGGAGCTGTTGAGGAAAGAGGTGGAGCTGGACTTACTCAGTAGGATCAAACATGTTTCGGAGTAGCACGCATCTGCTTGCCATATTGACACTGACCGGCAGTGGCTTAGCCTCTGGACGAGCTTTCGGTGCCTTGCGTTTGTCGTCGGCGGTAGTATCTGCAGCAGGTTCATCTGTTCTCGCAAGTTTCCTCATCAATGCGTCTCTGCTATAATTGTTGAAGTTCACACCGGCAACATCTGTGTCATCCAAAGCACTGGCGCCTCCAACGCCTTTGTCGTTGTCGCGGCCTCCCGCACGATCAAAATTGCCCCCAAGCGCAGTCGCAGCCCCACGGCCACCTTGACCGTAGAGGGAATTTTGCTGGCCCTGGGCTTGAAGTCGCATGAGGTTCGTTGCGGGATCGGAACTAAATTTGTCATTACCAAGGCCAACACGAATAGGTCGACCAGCGAGGTCAAAACCGTTCATTTTTTCCAACGCTTCACGGGCTTGGTTAGGATCACGGAATCTAGCAAGGAGGTTAGGACGGAGCCAATGTCGAGGGGCAATGGCTGAACTTACTGCACGAATCCATAGCCTCTGCTACGGCCGTTTTCATCTTTTTGTAGTTGAACAAAGTCAAGTTCGCCAAAAGGCTCGAAAACATTCTGTAAATCGCTCTCAGTGATGCTGAAATGGATATTACCAACGTATAGTCTGTGAAACGGAATCGAGTTCTGATTCCCGCTCACATGCCCCTCGGTATTGCGGGCGGCTTTATTCTTCTCAGCTTCGGTAAATTGGGCGATGATGGGAATTCCTAAAAGTTTCTGGCCAGTAAGCTGGATGGCAAGTGGGACTGATTCTTCGTTTTTGAACTCGACGTAGCCGACACTATAATTCGGATATACGTTAGCACTTCGATAATATATCGCTGAGACTGATACCGAGAAACGTACCCTTTAGACCTTCCGCTCACGCGGTCTTTGACGATCTGAGCATCTTTTACCGGCCCCGCTTTCTCAAAAAATGCAATCAATTCCTTTGTTCTCAACCGTGCAGCTAGCTGCTGCACAAAGACTGTACGCTTATCACGTTCATCCTCGGTAAGCTGTGGTTCTGGAGTTTTACTACGACGCTTAGCGCTCAGTGACCGCTTGCGCCCATCCTTATCACGGCGGCTACGACGTCTATCATCATCACGATCATCATCGCGGCGTGATCGACCACTCGGCCTATAATATCTGTCATCGTGAGGTGATCGGGAACGGGTGCGAGCACGACCGCCGCCTCGGTAGTAGTCGCCACCCGAAGAGCGATAGTCATCGCCATAGCGATCGCGTCGGGAGCGGCGTCTGTCGCTGTCGCGGCTCCTGCTTCTTTTTCTACTTCTGTAGCTCCCGTTAGCACTTGCGCGATCGCTCCTTGGACTTCTCATCTCTTCGTCTCCATCAGCATCCTTTTCCGAACGACGTTCGCGACTCCGGTCCCGGCGCCGGCGGTCCCTATCGTGGTCACGGGATCCATCTCGGATTCGATCTCGGTCACGGTCTCGGTCGCGGTCGCGGTCTCGACGATCACTACGGTCTTTCTTGGAATCGGAGTCGTGGGTTTTGCTTACTGCCTCCTCAGTCTGCTGCGTTGGACCAGGCTCAGCAGTCGACTCGAGCAGAGCTTCAACGTCGATACCTGACATATTGGAAATGTGTTGGATTTAAACCCTGAGGTGCGAATTCAGAGAAAGTGGATCACTTTTGCTGTCCGTTAGAGACGCGAGACGAAGAGTGGCTTGATTGAGCGAACCCTTGTTGCTTGTCAAAAGATACTTTCGAGAGGGACTTTCCACCTCTATCACCAGTGTTTATTTTCACTTGATGAATAAAATCTCACTCAGTATGAAGGAGTAGGCTAGTCTGTTTCCTCTTGCGAACTGATGCCTTCCAGGTGGTGGGAGATTGAAAAATCGCTCTTCGGGCGCTGGACGCACAAAATCGCCACCGACCAGCGTCGGCTGACATAAGCAGGATCGCAACTTCGTCTTCCTCGCCAAGGCTGACAATTGGGGAGCTCTGCCTTCGACTGACCGACTGCAGAGTATAGAGTTCTTATCAGTCTCAGTGTCCTCTCTCTCGAATGGTAGGAGGCTGGGGCTGGGGTGGGTTACACTCTAACGTCCACTACTGATTGCGACATCTTATTTCGACAGTCATCGGTGCATTTAGAATTAAAGTGGTATTATACGGTGTACTCCATACAGTGAGATGAAACGCCGAGATCAAACCCCGTCCACTGTGGTTTCATCGCCCGAGGATATCATTAAAGGTGTGTAGTTGCTAAGGCTAGTCGAAAAGCAAGAAATAAACATATGAGAGCCAGCAGTAATAGAGGTACGGCGAAGAAGCTCTGAATAGGGCGCATTAAAGCTCCTTCCAGGACATTGCACGCTTGCGCACGCCGGCTGGTGTTTCAAACAAGCAAAAAGCAAAGTAAAAGTGAAAATCGAGGATTATCAGAAAGTGACCTACTATAGTTCAAGGTTACATACGGCAGGAAAAGCAGAATTCGGTACCAGTCGAAGCGGTACCATGGAACGGGAACGGGGAAATTTCATTCGGCCTTCGCAGACGGAAGTGGAGGAAGTTCTGTTCCAAACACCCTGTCCCAGAAGCGGCTGGTGACGCCAAAACCGTTTTCATAATCTGCAAAGTGATGCTGTAGGTGATATTTCTTGAGCTGGCGGTAATAGGCAGGAAGGCTAGGTGTGGTGTAGGTTAGAAACAGCATACGCAATCATATTATCCTTTACAAGAAATTGATACGTACTTTCGGTGATGCAGAAAGTAATGCGTCGTGTCGTAACACACGTATCCGAAAATTCCTCCACAATACACCAGCACTGCCGCATACCAGTTGTAGAAGAACACGAAATGGGTAAGCTTGTAGAAAGGCGCGGCTAGGATAAGGAACAGCGCAGGTGGCATGACGAGGCGGTATTTGTCCATAGGCAGGTAATGGTGAATTCCATGAAGCAGGAAATGAAGGCTGAGTCCAACACGGTTATCTGGGAGATAACTATTTTATTTGTTAGCCAGTTCAACTAAACGAACGGAAGAAAAGGGGAGAGTAAGAGTAACGTACTCGTCGATATGAAAAAGGCACCGATGCATGCCGTACTCCACCAATGTCCAGATGAACAGCCCAGTTAACCAGTACACGCACCCCATCATTACGTTCCGGAGACCAGCAAATCCAATCGCCATTCCGTATGCTACGCATGGAAACCAGACCATCGGAACAACCCACCATGCGGTTTTGGTCAAAGGCTCGAGGAAGTTGCCAAACAAGGGGGCAGAGGAGCCTCCTTTGTAGTGCCGTGGGCGATGGACCTGCTCGAGGTAGAACGCTTTCGAGAATCCGCCAAACCAAAGTTGACCAAAGAGAGGCCTGCTTAGATCCAAAAACTTGTGCTCTTTATAGTCTGCAGTAGCGTCGGTGTCGATGGAGAGGTCTTCTTCGCTGGACATTCCGGTCGCAGCGTACACTCGTCGCCCATTGCTTTGGATTATGCACCCGTTTGGCTGGCCATTCATAGTGCCATTAGTGTCTGACTTGGACGTTGACTCTGAGGTCATAAAACCGATATGATATTCTTCCAATATCTCGTAGGCAGCCTCGCTGTGCTCGTGTGAAATGGTATCCCGCAGGATCTGGGAGACATCCCGGCCTGCATGCTGCAAAATCAAATCACCACCACCTGGGTGGTCATCGACGAAGGAGGTGACATCGTAGACCTTTGATCCCCGTGTCACCCAGCACGATTTCGCGGTAGAGTGCGATTTGACTTCAGAGGACGTGAAGGTCGGCAGTGTTCGCCCAGGCATGGCTGTGGATGTTCGGGATGTTGGTAACGCTGGCAAAACGAATGAACAGGCTTTGAGAAACGAAGGAAGGTTTGTTCATAACATGCGAATAGTGAGTGAGGGAATCCGGGCAAGCCGCTCGCAATGGTTTAAAGATGTGAGGTGCTGGAAAGAATGACAAGGCGCTAGTCGGGTTTCCGGGATGGGGTGACTTCGCGGCCACAAAGTTGTAAGTACCTGCGCGCCAAAACTCAACTCGAAACGAACTTTCGTCCCTTTTAACCAAACGATCTAGCCCGAAGAAAACTCTAATGCGGACGTTGATTGGGTTGGCGACGGGCCGCTTGCAATTTTCTCACCTTTACCATGGATCAAGTCATCCTGCCCTCTTGCCCTGGTGTTCTGTATTCAGGGTTTTCTTCGAGGACGGACATTCCCGTGCTATTTTCTTTGGTTGTGCCGGAGTACTCCGTACTCCGTAAGTACAGGGTAAAGGTGACCAACGCCACCCTCCGTATACAGACTGGGCTTCTCATCATGAATCAGTTAACCCGGAGCTACGACAGACCGGAAAAATAACAGCTCCTAAAGCCAAAATGTGGGTGCCGGATTTTAGAGGAGAAATTGAGAGTGCGAGGAGTGTTCTCTTCTTTGCTAACTCCGGAGGACTTCTGTAATCTATCATCTGCGGTCTTCGGTCGCCAGAGTCACACGGTGAATCCCGCTCATTATGCTACGGCGATAAATCCAGTATGACAAATGCTCAGTCTTACTTTGCATTCAACTGAACGACTAGGTATTGTTTGAGAGTTTTACTGATTCGGATTGCCAAATCCCCGTACTACTTGGAAACATAGCATATATTTATGCAACATCCTTAGGCATGTGATGGGCAAGCCAGGGCCCAAAAAGATATGCGGGGTGCAAGAGACGATTAGCCATGTTCTAACAAGTTACAAGCTCACGAGCCGTTGGAGATTTCCAGATAATCTCCAACGTCATCTCAAACTGTCCATCGACTGCTTCAGTGCCGTCAATCAAGCCCGCAAATTCTCAGATCACGTGGCTTGAGCGAGACTCGTCTCTTTTGCAGTAGGGTCTACTTCAAAATCTCCCACGATTGCTTGTTAACAGAAATCTTGTCTCAAGTTGGGCGAGCTTGGTCGATAGAATGTGGTTGATTCACCGCGCATTGCTCCTCATCGATACAAGTGCGATTTGGCGTCCTCTCTGTGGACATTCGGTGGAATTCCGTGGCACAGGCACCAGTCGCTATGAGGCGAAGAAAGGGGGTAAGGGATGCAGTTGTTGGATAACTCCATACTGAGCAGGATTGTGTTGTTGTCTGTTAAAGCCTAATTTTGTCTCTAAACACACCAAAACGTCCTGCTGACGTCTTAGGTAGGAGAGCAGAGTCAGCTCTGGAAGATGCTTCCTTGGTTGTCGCCCACTTTGAAGATAGTTAGCCATTGGCATATGTTGTGTAACTAATCTTGCCACCTTAATCTGTTGTAACATCTCTGGTTAAACCCAAATGGAGTTGTCACCAGAGGCTTTGGCTGATTGGTGAACCTTAAGTCAACTGTCTGAATACGATGAATTGCGTTTCCAAGTAGCTCCTGTTGGCGAGAAGGTGGGCGTGATAATAACTGTCCGCGGTCTTGGTGAAACCCTCCCTGGGCCTGGATCTCTCGGGACCGAACGTTTTTGGGGCGGACTGAGACCGAGGGACATCTGGTGTTGGATCATGAAAATCACCCAGAATCGAGGACTGACTCTTGAAACAGCATCGCACACTTGACAGCTGACGACAGCGAATGAGCATCGGCAGTTAGAGATCGGGAGAGGTTGAGCTCTTTTGACAAGGAATGTGTTTCGAGAACTCTGCCCGCAAATGATCTGCTGATAGTCCGGTCCAAGCAGGACAAATCAAGGCGGCTCACCAAGGACCTCGACCAGCAGGGCAGCTAAGCCCTTTGAGATCGGGCCCACCAACCGTCCACTTTGAATTTTCCTTGTCGATGCAGAACGAACATTTTGTAATAATCTGGATGCCTGGCCCCAGGAACAGATGCATCGCCAGCAATAAGCACCCAATGAAGGGCCCGACTAGCCGAGCGGAGACATCAAAGCCGGTGCAGCGGGCTGTCGAAGCGGGCCTCTTCGCCTTCACACAAGCTTCATGCTGCCCTGTGATTGAACGCCTCCACTCGCAGTGTATCTCTGAGATCATCGCAAGGAAAAAACAAAAGTTGGCAATTGGCTGTCACGACATTCTCCCTCTTCCGATCCCTTGTCCGCACCGGGGCCCTGGTTCAAAAATGATGTGATAAGCTGCGAGTTCCCACACTAGCTCGTCCCACCGCGACTGCACGGACGAGGGTGGGAAGTCCCGTTACATATTTAACACATATGTAACTATTATCGGTCCTTCGTGGGTGACCCTGTCATTGCTGGGGAGGATGCAAAGGGGATCATTAATATTAGGGGATCCTAAGAAAACGCTGCAGCCGCCGTCCCGTGTCCAGTCTGTCAAGTCATAGTCCCGACAGGGACCAATCAAGGGCGGGCGAGCACGCTTCGAAACAAGGCGGTTGCGCGACGAGCCCATTCTCAGGCGGTCGTTAAACTAACCTCTAGGCGTTGCAGGGTGCAAAGAAATTTGATTTTTTTTCCCCCCCTCGGTGCAGGCGATCTCCGTGACTTCTCATGACACGTCTCATCACACAGATAACGTCCAATTCCTGGGTCGTTGCGAGTGAGACTACTTAATACTTTTGGGCCCGTCGATATCCCGAAAGACCCGTCTGTAGGTTTCATTGAGAGTCTGGAATTAGAAACCTGAATTTGCTAAATAAGAGGCCAGCAGCCCGAACGTCACACCCGCAATCAGGCCAAAATGGACGATCACATGTCCCCTTCAAGCCGGAATCCATTGACGACGTACTTACGCCAACTCCGTCAAACCAAGACATCCTTACCCCATGGCGAGCTTGTGTGCGTTTCAGCGTCTCCAAACATAAGCACGGTGGCCGCTCTATTAAGACTGGCTTGCGCCGTTGGCCCATATATCGCTGTTTTACAAGTACATGCCGATATAATCGACGACTGGTCGCCTGAGGCCGTTCGAAGGCTAACAAATGTTGCAAAGAGATTTAGCTTCTTGATTTGGGAAGGCGGGCGGATTTTGAATACAAAACGGCGGCCAACGGGTCAACACGCACTGTCGAGCCATGAGATAGCCAGAGACGTCGCTATGGCACGGAAACGTTACACAAAGGGAATCAATGTAGCAGCCTGGGCTGGATTGGCCAGTACGTGGGTTATTGGATCTGAAGGACAGGATAAAGGTGGCTCTCAGCTTATTCCAACTCTTCGTCGGGCTGCGCGAGAGACTGTATCGCGGATGACTACGTCCGTCCGCACAGAAATCAGCGGAGGACAATCGCCAGGTATAGATGGAACTGACGATGATGATTGTGGGGATAGCCCTTGTGAAAATGAAGAACAAGACCAAAACACCCTTAATACAGCGCTGGAAGATTTGGATATCTCGCCGCCGCTTCGGAAAAGCTCGGTGATATCTCTCACAAGGACGATTACTCAACACGAAGAACCTTCAAGACCTCCTTTAATTGAAGTGGATGATGACTGCGATTGTGGTGAAATCAATTCAGAGAATGAATCGGCATTAGCCGTAACTGTGACTTCACCGCCGCTTCTTTCCAGGGGGCTCCTGATTTACCTACCGAGCAATGGCGATACGCAATCTAAGTCTCTACACAGACAGGCCGCCATTATTTCAGGGAAAACTCATAATGATTTTGTGGTGGGATTTGTGACGGAAGAGCCATGGACGAACGTTCGGAGAGACCAAGCCCTCGCAGAGAGTTTACGCCGGGCATGTTCGGATGAACAGGATGACCTCGACGAAGATGATGACGAGGAGGGGGAAGATGGGAATGGCAAAGATGAGGGGAATCTCAACAATGCGGAAACTTATGCGATATTCAGTCCGCTTGAAAATGATCATGTTGGCTGCAGCACCAATGTTCATGAGCCACGTACAAGCGCCGGGGAGAGCCTATCATCACAAGGACAACATTCGTCATCCCGCCATAAATCAGGCTTGGGCACACAAGCTCAGCAAATTCGCGCATTGCATCAGCTTGTCGCCCAAGCTCTATCACTTCTATCAACCATGAGCCCTGCTGCTCCTCTGAGCTCTTCAGATGCAAAGCAAGGTTGTCCAGATATCCTATACATCCCCGTCATTACTATGAACCTTTAATTTTCCCTTCTTGCATTTTTGATGCTCGATACAGCCTCATTTTTCTCTCCAGATAATTCCTCCTTTGAATATGCATATGATTTGCCTATAAAGATCGATGTCATTGATGAGCCTAGCATTTGTTAGAGATCCTTTTATCCATACCTTCAAATTTCGTTTTGGTGATTTCATTCTATATTCGGTGCGCGCTTGCGATCACTTCGAGATTCCCGGGAAATGATATGAGCTTTATGTGTTTAACGAGGTAATATGCGATGAAAATGATTATATGAGTTTCAATGATTCTTCCTTCTATCTCGCTGGAGCGTGACCATCCCGGCGTAAGCTTTGTATAGTCATACCGTCCCGATATGTCAATGACGCACAGACCTTGCCCTCGACATCTTCAGATGTACTACGAATCAGCGTACCCGCCCCCCTTTCTCCCGCTCCTGATGAAGTTTTTCGGTTGCACATGGGCTAAGGTGCAAGGTATTAACCTCCATCCAGTCGTCAAACTGCGGCAGTAGATCTCAAAGTAAAGCAACATGGGATAGGGAGAATTATGTTTCAACACATATACTGCCTACAGAGTACGACGTACGGTATAGCATACTAGACAATCCGCGACATCCAACTAGCAACAAACTAACATTGAGTAGTTGGTTAATGAACCAATGGAGAGTCTAAATTATATACAAAATTCATGTCGCCATCCCGGAGTCGCAAATGGCAATTAAATCTATTACCTAACTTAAAAACAATCAACTTGCTTCCACTAACATCGGTCTTCCCTTGATCTCATCCAGTCCGTACCATACAATAACCGCAGTCCAATCACTGCGGCAATCGCACTAAACACTAAGGCCACAATCCCTCTCGGCTGGAATCCAGGCGCCAACGGTGGCGGAGGCACATTCTGATTCGACAAATCCAGGAAATTTTCCGTATTTCCACCGGCATTGCCTTCATATAGATGACGAGCTGCACGGCATGTCGCGTAGTGTGATTCCGGAATGGGATGGCGTTTCTCGGATTCGCGGAACTGTAAGGGAGCTTCGATTATGGTTGCCATTCTATATGATAGTGAAATAGTCATACTCCAGGATTATCGGCCTTGAAGCGAAGCACTGCATTCCCGTTTGCATTCACGAGGATGGTATCTCGTCGCATTGGTACTTTTGGGAATGTTGGGTTGATAGAAGTATCGAATGGTCTGCCGTCCTTGGGGGAGCGGTAAATGGTTTGGAAGTTATGTCCATGCAAGTGGAAAGGATGCTTGCCTGGATCATTATTGTTGAGGATAATTTTGACGGTCTCACCATATCAAGGACAAATGGATTAACATAGGGACTATATATCATTGGGTTTGTGACTAGGTTTTCTGGAGCTGTGAGAGCTGTGAGAGCTGTGAAAAGCGTGGGAACCTTATGTGGAACATAAGTGATATCGTTGAACCAGGCACTGTCTGTATACTTAAGCCACACTGGCAAAGAACATGGTCAGTCTGAAGATTTTTGGACTTACTAGTTTGCTCCATCCCCAAGATTCTCCATTTTCACATCTAATATTATCGTGTGACTTTATCATACAAATAATATACTCTGTTTATGTGGTCAAGCACTCCCTTTGTTTTCTGATTTACAGTGGGTGATCTCTACTATATCTATGGAGTGCTTGTGAAAAAGTTAATCAGCCAATCCCAAAAATAAGAAAAGAAAAAAGGGAATGGGAAATTAAACAGCAATCCACAGCCAGAGAGTATTCGCTGTTGCAGTTTGGTTGTTGCATACAGTAGCTATCCAGCGGGTTTGTCATGGCTGGGCTGCAACCTCTACTCACTGAGCTGCATCTAGAGGTCAAAGACAAAAAAAAATATGATTCTGTAGAACTATACAGAGCTAAAAGCACTTTGCGCCATATTTATTGTTCACTCAATCATATAACCCTCTGCGATACACTTCACATCCTTTGAGAAATTGACTCCTTCGCCTTCCATTTCTACCAAGGAGACACCGAGAACGTCAACGTCAACAAATGGACTGGGCTTGTTGAAACGGACAGTCATAGGGAAGAATTCGTTTTCGTCACCGTCAGGGTTATTTGATTCAAACTCGAAACTGCCCGAATTGTTAGAGTCGTCGACATTTCCAATGTTCCAATCTATGCTGTCTCCGGTAACTTCGTATACGGCGTCAAAACTGGAGATACTCGGCTCAACTGTGTGGAAAGGAATTGTAACAACGACATCTTTTAGGCTCTCGGAGCCGGAGAGCTCGTATTCCACCGTTACTGTAGTAGAATCAGATCCCTTGTTAATCCAGGCAGTGAACGTAATAGGTAGCAAGTCGGCGTCGTCGCTGCTGGCGACACGCCACCGCAAAACTCCAATAGAGTTGTTCGCTGGAAATCGTTTTGACGTGTCTTTAAGCTGGATGGTTTTCGAGTTGGTAAAGAGCGCCTTGTCCACGTTCGGGTGAGTACGGTACTGTGCGCCGTGTGTTGGGTTGGCTTTGAGATCAAGCTTCAACTTCGTGAATGATTGATCGGAAATGCGGAGCTGCAAATCCCCCTTCACTTCAAAAGATTTCATCGCACCATCCCGAGATAGTTTGGCAGAAACCGTTTCGGCTACAGTTATGTGTACTGCCTCGCGGTCGGTCGACACGGATTGTCTGGAAGATACAGGTGCTACTCCAGCAACGGCAGCAGGGGTTGCGGAGACAGGAGCAGATTCTTCAACTTCGGGTCCAAGGTCTCCGCGGACTTTCTCATAAATGTCTGTCGTCTTCGATTTCTTACCAAGTTGCATCCCTTTACCTCGGGATGGTAGAGCCCTACAAAAATCAGTGACATGAGCAACGATACGGGCATATGGGTGGTTTGCACTTACTTTGTGAATGTTTTCTTCTTCTCTGCTTCATAGGTATCCAGGGTATCGGGAATGGTGGGTCGGGTAGGCTGACTGTAGACCGGATAGGATGGGGCACGAGGGGCCGTTCCTTTCGCCAACCGCGCAGCCTCTTTGCGTTGCATCTCAAGCTGCCTTGCCTTTCTTTTCCTCTCTTCGCTCGCTTCAAGTTCCTTGTTCTACAGGGTGCAGATGTTAAAAATGGTGACAGCCAATTATTATGGATTTGAGGACATACCCGCTCAATAATTTCCGAAATACGTTCATCGTGACTCTCCATTTCAAGGAAAGTCTTTATCTGAGATAGTGTGAGATTCTCTCGGTAGCCCAGCGTAACCACCTCATCGAAGGCCGAAAGGAGTTCGAAGGCATTGCGTAGAATCTCGCGTTCATCAAGACTTTTGCAAATGCTCGTGACCACCTGAGCAAAAATATGCAAGCTGTCGATATCCTGGAGAATGTTTGATTGTTTGTTCGTTATCAGAACGATGTAAAGTTCGTCCAGAGGCTGATATACGAATCTGACGTTATCCTGTTCGACGGTGGTGTGTTGCGTTCCGGAATCGGCAAGTTTGGGGAACGATGCGAGGAGGGCCTCGATTCGCGATCGTGCAATTTCACGGAACTGCCGCGAGAGGACGGCTTTGCCTCCGCGGGTGCATATCGACGCTGCGAGAATGACCTAGGAGCGAGTGAGTCGGCTATGGACCCGATTCCGCCCTGCCTTTCAATTGACTCACCATTTTTGAGGAAATTAAGCATTCAGCATTCTAGTCAATCCAAAAACCTGTAATCAGAGGAGAAGAGATAGCTGTTAAGAATGAGCTGGGGTTGTTGGTCATGGCCTCCAGGGTGAAGTTGAATGTTGTCTTGATCGGTCTAATTGAGGTGGTCCGTGCATACCTAGACTCACTCCTTAATAAGCATTTCGCTTATGAGAGGAACTTCTTGTGGCGGCCTTTTCTCTCTTTAACCTCCTCTCAGCTCAACTTCATCCACACCCCGTCCTCATCTGGCCTCTTTTCACATAGTACAGGGCACATCTTTCCTACTTCTGCTACTGTATTTCAAGCTGCTATTTTTAACTATACCGCTGGCGTGGCAACCCTTCTCAAAGGCCCATCACACGAAGATTGTATTAAGGTGGTTTCCTTTAGGATGGCCAGATAGCTTTGCGAGGCACTGTGAATAGCAGGGTACACTCAATAGACCAAGAACATGGAGCACTCTATGTTTGATGACAGCATGGAGGTGACATCCAACCATCCCGAGATCCCTGCCGATGACGATATCGAGATAGATCTTGACATTTACCAGGATCGGGCAGAGAACAGTGATAATGATGTTGTTGTGGAAGATGCTTCTGCGACCGCATCACACCATCCTGATATGTCAGAGGACTATGATGAGCATGCAAGGGATGCAGATATGATCGATGATAACTACTCGGCAGCTCATTTACCTGATCCTGACGACCCATCAAACCGAGGCAATCGCTACGGTTATGACGAGACCAAGTTGCCCACTAATCAACATGCGTATGAGGGCGAGATGGTGGATGACTATGAAGAAGATATTGATGCCCCGATCCCCGGAAATTTTGACGAAGAAGAAGAAGAAGAAGAAGGAGGAGGAGAAGGTCCTTCAACCCTTACTGATGCCCACCCCCCTGACCTAAACGAGCCTCAACCCTCCAAGTGTGACGAAGGTATAGAAGATCACGAAGCTCAAGAGCGGTTCTCCCCTGTCATTTCTCAAGTATCGTCTCCTCCACAACCTATACACGATGATTCAGCGGGTCAGGAGAATGAAGATGTCGCTACAGGAAACCGAGAAGCTCCAAGCATTGATAATCCACAAAATTTTGGCGATGGACAGGCGTCTAGTAAAGCAAGCCCGGAAATAGAATCAAGTTTATCCCCGCCTAAAGAGGAAGGGGATGGAGAAGCTGTGCCCAAAGGATCCGACCAGATCTCTGCTCAAGATACGACCGGGCCACCTGAGATTGTTAACGGCAACGGCAAAGCAGAAGATTCCGAGGCCACTGCGGCAGCATCTGCCAAGGTAGACACTGAGAATATCGATGAGCAGGATCAAACGGACGAAATAAGAAACAAACTTCCAGCGTCGCACCCACCTGACGATAAAGAAGATGGAGCTGAAACTGGAGATACTGCGGATTACATACCCCTGCACAGAGTAACCGTTCTGTATCAGGACAGTGAGATGTCCCTCTTTCCGCCGAATGAGAGCGACCCATCGGAGATGTACCTTTTAGAAGACGAGGAGTTAGCACATGCTCCCCTTTATCAACTTTTTCAGGCTTTTCGTAAAGTTCTTGGAAACAATGTGTCCGATGAAGACGAGTTGGTGGCTTCTATTGACTGCCTATATATTCAGCTAAGTGAAGTTAGTTGATTTGAAAGTATTTCATGCAACCCACCAACTTGCTAACGGATTGAATAGGTCGCTACTCAGTCCTCAGAAATTAACCTATCTCAGATTGTGCAGCTATATCTCGACCTCTCCCGTAATGATGGCGTTGATAATCCGGAACCTCTGTACATATGCCTCAGTTCGAGACCAATTTTGGACGCTGAGTTGGCTGCCCTCCAAGCTGCAGTTGACCAGGGCAAAGGACTGTCCCATCTCTGGGAATGGGACGGTGTTGAAGGTCATGATATTGACGGTCCAGTTGAACATCCTGAAGTCATTGAGGATGGATTTGGGAACGGTGATAACAGTACTTCACAAGAAGATCTAGGGTCTTCCAAGGAAATCCCCGTTTTAGAAGAATCTCTTTGCGAAGAAGAAGATCGGATCGACCACGCGGCCATGCCCCATGTGACTGAGGATCAACCAGCTACCTTTGAAGATCAGCAAAATGACAGGAAAAGTAAAGAAACCTTAGAGTCAAGGCCAGACGAGTTTCCGGATGAGGAAGAATTCTCTCCTGACGTCCTGCAAGATGGTGACGGTGAGGAACAAGGTAAAATCCCAAGCCGGTTTTCTCTCTTTTCTTATGCTTGCGCGCTTACATGCTGCTAGGGGAAATTTGGGAAAATGGTGAAAATCATATCTTAGGGGAAGTTGACGGCAATCCGCATAATGATGATGAAAAGCCGCTGGACGAGCCAGTGGCTCAGACTCTACACCTCGATGAAGCAGAATCGGAGGAATTTGAAGATGGGGAAATTGCATCACAAGTAGATGATGACATCCCAGCAACAGGGACGCCAGAAGACGAAAGCTATACAACTTCCCTATCTAAAACTCCAATTCCTGCAGAACCTACGAGCTCTTCTGCTGCAGCAGAGGACCAGAAAGTATTGGAAGTCATCAACACAGAGCCTGTCCAACTTAGCTTGGAAACGGCTAGAGATAATATTGAGCAAAACGATGTCGTTGGGCCACATGCTACTGAAACCGGAACCCTGTTGGTCTCTGAAAAACAACCCGAAGACGTGTCCCCAGTTCGGGATCATGAGGTCCACGATGTTTCCGCGTATATTCGGCATTTAGATCGGCAAATTACCCCAGATCCTAGCCTCAATGCTTTTGAGGTTGACGTTGACCTTTTCAAAAGTCCTGTCGCAGAGCAGTGTGAGCTTGTATACCCAAAGACCACAGATGTTCGAGATCTTGGCGATGAGGAATCCCTCGAAGTCGATTTCTCACATCATGAATCGCACGAAATGGCAGCATCCGGTGAAACTCAAGATGACTTCGAAGACTGGGATCTTATAGAACAGGCCGAGGAAAATCAAGTCCCACGTCATGATAATAGTCCCAAGGCTGTGAAACGCCCTCGTGCAGACGACGAATGCAACGACTTGGAAGCCCCAGTGCCTGATCTAAAACGGCATCGTTCCGAATAACGATAACCGCCCCAATTCCACCGAAACCCTTTAGTCCATACGCCATGCACATGATCTATATGTTTAATAACTTTGTGATTGTAGTCCTATACTAACCGCATTAGTTTTATTCTCCTACTTTGAGCGACACAGCAGCACGAAATCTGCAACAAAACTCAGGTAAGTCAACAAGTCACCTGTATCCATTCTCCGTTCCACGAACGGACTGCGTCGGTTTTAAATATTTTCCCGCTTTTATTGGCGGATTCATCTCAGAATCTCTCGCGACCACCCTCATTTCAGCGTCGGGGGTATTATGCTCTTCCCAGCTCTATTCCATCCGAGGAACTAGCATGCATTGTGCCTTGTGGTAAACTGGGGCTAGGAGCACCCAGCAGCTATCCACACATCAATGTTCTGAGACCACTCAAGTCTCTATATGTCGCCACTTCCTATGACGGACTGCCATGGTGACGTCGTCTCACCATCTGGCTCGAGATCATGGGTCTTTGGGTTATCGTTGTTGTGCCTCTCTTTCCATTTTATGGACATCCGCCAGAACCCATATGCACGCGCTGGTCAAAAGAATGGACCGTTTTAACTTTTCGAGGGTGTGTTTGATTACATTGCTGGCTCAAGCCTATTTGCAACCCTTGTCCATGCCCATGCTGGTATATCCAAACGGTTGAGATGGGGTAACTTCAAAGGCGAGGCCTATTAACAGGCAAGATATTGCAAATTTATCTCATTCCATTTCTCTGCTTCAAGCTAATTCGAACCTTGCAATGTGTCTGCTTGAGCATTTTTGCATGTATGATTGTTTGCTATTGCCACCATAGGCATCCAGCACTCAGTCAGAGTATTTTGTTTCGCATGAGTCTCTCAAGATTCCGAGCGTGCTTATATTCTGTTGGTCCCATCACTGTGCTTCACCCCATGTTGTTCAGTTCCATGTTCTCAGCAATCATGCATCAGACAGTTCTTTGTACCATAGTCACATTTTAGGAGCTTGTTTTAAGTAAGGCTAACAATGCAGAAAGCTTTATTACTTTCATTCGAGGAGAATTACATACTTTGTACGCCGAGACAGGCAGCTGCTCTTGTTTTGGAACATTTCAGTTTTGAATTGATAAGCCCTGAAGAAATGGGAACCAGCAATCACGGCACACTATCCACTACGGTCTGTGTGCTGAGTCTAAAAACTGCCATTCCCATTCAGCATTGCTTTGCTTTACTAGCAAAAATGTTCTGTATATGGAATGGGTGTAACTACACCGTGCTCCGCACATAGATTGGGACGAGACAAATTCATGTGACGTTCACAACCATAACCATTCATGCCACGGCTTCATCCCAAAACCCCACCAGGCGCGCAAAAACATTTGACAGGATGGCAGACGGCCATTTGCTCGGCCTGGGTCTCTGAAATCTACTCAGGATTATGCTGTTGAACCCAACTGCCCTTGAGATTACCTTGCGTTACTCGACCTCATACCTATACCAGACCGCTCCTCTCCTCGGTAGTCCTTGTTATTCCTTTCTTGGTAATTATGGCGGCATCAAACCCTCAAACGGGTCTTTCGCCCAATGCATGGGATAGCCATATGCACATCGTTGATCCCGACCGTTACCCGCTAGCCCCAGACGCGCAATACAAGCCTCAAACCCACACTCTCTCGGAAGCCATGGAGTTCGAATCTAGTGTCGGCATCTCTAACATTGTTCTCGTCCAACCATCTATATACGGGTATGACAACTCCTGTTTACTAGAAGGACTACGTGAAATTGGGCCTCAACATGGCAGGGGAATCGTCACTATTGATCCACAGAGTATCCGGCCTGAGAAGCTCTTGGAATGGCATCGGCTGGGAGTCTGTGGCGTACGGCTCAACCTCCAGTCAGTCGACAAGCAATTGACCCCCGAGGAACTAGCAGAATCTGTCCGCCAGCACGCGCGAGCGATTTTTCATCTCAACTGGGTTCTGCAATTATACATCCCGCTCAGCAGCGTCCCGGCCCTACTGAGCGTTGTTCCTGATTTAGGCGTGCGCATCTGCTTTGACCACTTCTCCAGCCCGGCGTTACCGTCTACGGATGTGGATCCTGCGTCATTTGATCCTTACTCGCTGTCAGGCTTCAGTGAACTTGTGTCCCTTCTCAGACAGGGGAGGACTTACGTCAAAATATCGGCGCCATATCGGCTAGGTGATGACCCGGAACTGAAGTTTCTAGGTGTTATAGCAAAGGAACTGCTGCGGGTTGCCCCGGAAAGGTTGGTGTTTGCAACTGACTGGCCGCATACGAGGTTTGAAGGGCTGGATATCAAACCATTTATTGCAAAGTGTCTTCACTGGTGTGGAGGGAATACAGAGCTCGTTCATAAGCTGTTTCGTCGGAATGCTGAAGAGCTTTGGGAACTGTGAGAAGTATTAAGAAAAATTAAAACACATAGGTAGTCTACATCAACTTTACCCCTTGCATCACTTGGAGGCATTGTTTCTCACAGTGGACACTACAAGTAACTTTGAATGATTTATAGTTGGAAAGAAGGCTTATTGAATGCGATGTCGAGTCCTCTTCTGGCCTGGGTGATTGGGTAGAAGCTTTTTTCCTATTTACAATTCGAAGCCGGGCTCAAGATGGAATGGATTAAATTCTTGTTTTCTCTTCCTACCACAAGTCCGGTTGAGAAGGGCACATTCTAACATGGAGGAGCCACAAAAAGTGGAAGCTGATAAACTATATGTCTTATTCTGTAACACTTGTTTAGTTCCAAGATAGTGATGTATTCGCAAATTGCGAAGACAGAGATGTATAAATTCAAATAAGGGCTCATCATAACTCATAAGGTACATGTGTGATATATACAGCCTTGATTTCATTGCCCCTTTGTTCGGATTAGCTTCCGGAAGACGGCCACCCGGTATCGAATCCACCTTGGCCAACATTCGTTGGCATAGGTTCCACGTACGAGAAAGCTTCGAAAAGTTCTGGCGCTATATCGTACATATGCTCTTGAGATAATTCCGACGGGTTTAGTAGAGAAGGATCCATTGTAAAAGAGGTGTCCGAGTTTTGTTCTGTGAAAGGTGGTGGCGTGATGCTGAATGCCCCGTGGGGAGGAAGTGTATAGTTAGATGGAGACTGAAGGGTGGGCTGTTGATGCTGTGGTTGTTGATGGTCTGAACGGGAAGTATCCTGGGATGACTGGGGAGGTAGACGAGATGACGTGGGCTGGGGATCGGGATGTATCGGCGCAAGAATGTTAATGTGTAGTTTTTGTAACTCTTTTTCAACCAGGCCAAGCGCAGTATTTATAACTATAAAGGAAGTTGAACAGGGTGTTAGCCACAAAAGATCTTCTCCACACTATTGTAGAAAACTGAGGTGAATATGGGTGACGAACCTGGGTTTGCGGATCTAACACGTTCCAGTGCGACAATACAGTATCTAAGCTTCTCTAGTGTCGAAGCAGAGGCATACTTCAGCGCCTGTATCTCGAGCAAAAATATCGAGGATGCTGTGTACAGGCTGTATGCGAGGGAGAGAACAACATGAGAATCTCCGAAAGTTCGTCTGTAAAGGTCGTAGAGAGAGATAATGGAAGTCGCGGAAGAGAGACATTGGACCAGGTGCTTTGCATTGTCTGCAGCATTTTCCAAGCTTCTGAAAGGCTTCGAACAGAGCATGGGTCGATGGAGGAGGATGTTGGTGATGTGATATATGCAACTATAAAGACGTAAGAGGGGTGATCCTTAAGCAAAGAACCAAAGCTTACTTTAATGTGACAATATGGCTCGGGGGACAGTATGCGGGTAGATCGTTAACGATGAGCTTCAGGAAACTAGGTAACTCGGTCCACCATTTTTCGAGGTTCTCGCCTTGTTCATGCACACAGTTGAGGATCTGGGTTTCTGTGCTTTGCCGGACTGGGTCGTATATGTGTATTATAATCTGGTTCAAAATTTCGGAAAGCGAGCACATTCTCATAAAGCAGGATGTCGAATGAGCCTGTGTTGGCGGGTAATGTGTACCCTCTGGAAATACGACCCCGTGCGGTGTCCATATTTCTATTTCGGCAGTGTCGTCCACTATATTTAAGTTTGCGTTAATAGCGGCTCGATCAGAAGCCGACAAGTGAAGGGATTAGCTTACGAAGAATCTGGGGCGGGCTGACTGGCGTATCTTGAATAATAGGAGATCGGCCAAAATACAACGAAACCAGTTTATCCCAGAAATAACAGCTCCAAAAAAGCCGATTCCGGATCTCAACATCTTCATCCGAGAATTGCACGGAGCCTGAATATTTCCGGCTATCAATTGTGATACCCAGGTCTTCCACTAAACGGAACGCCATCCCGCTATAGAGCCACGCTTGAGTCCTGTTTCCACGGCCACATTCCTGTGCACTCAGTAAAAGTAAGGACTGCACGATTGGTATTTGTCCGTTCCCTTGCTTAAGGCTCTCGTATAATCCATCTACTGCTCTATTGAAGAACTGAGTACCGCCGTCATATGGATCCAGGAGTCGACTGATTTTCGGCTCGCTCTTGCACCATCGGAGAGAATGAGATAGTATGGCATTCAAAAGTACGTCGGAATAGTATGGACCGTTCATTTTCATATCGCCTATTGAGAGCAAAAGCAAAATCATAAGTCTCGAGAACTATACTGATTCCTGACTAAGGCTCTGCAACTCACGTGTAAATGCTGGTCGGTATACAAAATTAAAAAGAGGGTGTATCCAGCACCAATGGGAATCGAGAAGGTAATGAAAAGGTTCCTGGATACAAATATCAGTGACCATATCCTATTTGCGCAAAGCTGCCACGAAAAGCCATCTTACAGGGATAGTTGCAAGCTGTTCAAACGCTCGCTCTCTCCACGCGTTGTTTATGAGCCTCTCTTTCCGGCCGTCTAGCTCCTGCGTTGATTTAACGGGATTTAGATCTTCCTGAGGAATCCCGCTGGGCAACTGAAATAAGCTGGTGGGTCCGTGGAAAGAGATGCGCCCATCGTCCTCCATTTTCAACCCTTCGATATCCCGGGCCAAGTCCAGTGTGTCTCCCCCATCTTGTGACCCGTTTGAATGCCTGGCGAATCTTTCTAGAGGCACTTTCGTCTCGACCTCCTCGACCTTGGGCTTCTGGTCGGAACTCTTTTGATCTTTGTTTTCGCTTCGTACAAGGTCTAGCTCCGCCTCTAATTCAGCAATCCGAGCTTCGAGGGATTTTGTGTACGATAGTGTAGGTGTTCTACGAGGATCAGAAACATGGTGGAGATTCCTGAGCTAGCTAGACTCACAGGCTATAGACGCAGGTCTCCCCGCGAGCAGCACATCGGGAGCATGATGGACTGGCGCCGTTACATTTCACCTAAATCCCATGAAGCATGGTGTCAGCTCGAACAGGTCCTTTCTTTTTATTTCTTTTCTTTCTTCTTTATTTTTTATTTTTTACTTTTTGTTAATAAAAAAGGGAAAACGAAACAGAAAAAGTTGAGAAAAGAAAAAAAAAGATAGGCCAATCCTAGAGTCTAGAAAGGATCGAGGGATCAAACCTTGCGTTTCCGACATGCTTCGCAGGAAAAAGCGCTTTTCCTGGGTACTGGCTTCGAGTTCGTCTCAGGCATTTGAATCACGAGGAGAAATAAGAGGCACACACAAGAGATCGTGGGCCAGATCACCAGCCATTTGCCTGGCAGATGTAGATATTGGCGGGGTGCTGTGCCTGTGCGTTAATGACTTCCTGCCGCTGTCCTTGAGTTTCGGTAAGGTGGAGATAACACAATTCAGAGTCGCTGGGAGTGCGGTGCATGTCTCAACAACTTCGCAACAACGTCCAGAAGATGCGCAGGCCTGTGGCGGGGAGGGAAAATGACGATTCCAGACTGGCGTCGAGCTTGTTCGCTGTCGCAGCCACCCCTCATTGGAAGGCAAGCCACGTTTTGGAGCCAAGCACTAATCCGTAAACGGTTAGACAATCCCCTTAGTGTCTCGGCCCAAGCTTTCTCCGATCCAGCACGGGCCGGACCTCATGAACTCGACTCGACGGCTCAAGGGACCTCGATCAGATGAAACTACGGAATGCGAAGTAAAGCCGCTGAAGTTGGTTCGGCTTTGGGCACTGAATTCGTCAAGGGAAATAAATTTCAGAATCAACTGCTGTCCAAGAAGTGATATATTATACAAGTGATGCGCTTACAAGATCCAACTCAAGCGGGCGGGAAATGCTATGCTGGAGAGACAGATGCATCGAGGCTACCCTTACCAAAACTCCTTCTCCAGCTTTATCAACCAATCGTACACATCGTCTGCCTTCATAGTCATCTTAACTGACCGGCCATCCGGGGATATAACGAAATCCCAGCCGGGGGTATTCTGTAACCATTGCTTGATTTCGGGCGGACTCCTTCCTCCCAATAGCCCGGTAAGATCAACGCCGACACTACCGTTTGATACATCCGACGGGCCAATAACAAAAACGAGCTTGTACTTCCTGCCCATCGCTTCTCTGATCTTTTTGCCAAGAGACCGCGAAGACGTATCAACATCAATCTGGAAGGTGGCCTGGGCGGGATACAGCAGTCCAGGGGTAGCAACCACTTCGCTTTCATTGAATGTAAGGCTCTGATAACCGCGCATCCCTGAGGCGACGGTCTGCGCAGTCCGCAGCACTTGAGGGTCGTTGTTCACAGTGAGTATTATCCCCTGACGTGGTGAAAGCCAGAATGGCCATCGACCGTTATAGTGCTCTGCTAAAAGCGCAAAGAAGCGCTCCAGAGAACCAAATATTGCCCTGTGAATCAATACCGGCGTGGCTTTTCTTGGGCCATTGACGTCAGTTTCTGTCCCAGGGACCACATACTCCAACCCGAACCGTTGAGGAAGGTTCATATCGAGCTGAATTGTGGATAGTTGATGGTATTTCCCACGAGAATCTCGAATCTGAAGGTCTATTTTGGGTCCATAGAATGCCCCGTCACCCTCATTGATATGCCAGGGCTTCCCACTCTTATCCAGAGCATCTTTAAGCTGATTCTCAGCATCATTCCATAGCGCTAGGCTCCCCAAATAATCCTTTTCCGGCCGAGTGGAGAGGACGAGCCTATAATCTTCCAAACCAAACGTGCTCAACACACTTTCCGTGAACTGCAGCGTTAACTCGATCTCTCTCTCAATCTGCTCCGGGCGACAGAATATATGACCGTCGTCCTGGTGGAACCTTCGAACACGGGTCAATCCTGACAACGATCCCGATATTTCATTGCGGTGGAGAGGGCTGAATTCTGCAAATCTAACAGGAAGGGATCGGTATGACCTTGTTTTGGATGCGAATAGCACGCAGTGGCCAGGGCAATTCATCGGCTTTAGTCCATACTGTTCGTCTTCACCGATCTCCACGTCGACGGTTTGCCCTGTAGCACCACGCCCACGGACCTCGTACATATCGTCTTTATAAATATGCCAGTGCCCAGATTTTTCCCAAAGGGATTTTTTATACATGGTTGGTGTTATGACTTCTTCAAAGCCATATTGTTTATATTGTGCTCGGAGAAAGGACATGAGTTTATTGAAAATGTGCGCGCCATCGGGGTGAAAATAGGGGGAGCCGGGGCTGAATGGAGTCGACCCAAAGAGATCTTGGTCGGTTCCAATTATTCTATGATCGATACCGGTAACAGAATCTATGGGGGGTGCTTCATCGTCTGGATGCCGAGCGCTTCTAGCTGTCCTACTGTTGGGACGGGTAACTTTATCTCTCCTCTCCCTGTATGAGTTTTGAGCGGTTCCAATGGCCTGATTATCAGCATTGGTAACAATATCTGAGGGCAGTTCATTACATGGATCTTGAGCGGTTTCAATTGCCTGATTATGGGAAATAGGATCTGAGGGTGCTCCGTCGCATGAGGGGATCGACTGAGATGGCTGTGGTGCCCGGGAGTATGACCTCGTCACTGAGATGGCCGATGCAAGGCGGCTAGTTCTCCATGGAGTGGCCTTTGGTACAGGGCGCTGGGTCGAAAACGAGCGCCATGCTCTTGCGACGACGTTCGGCCGCATCTTGCGTGCTGATCAACCCCCGTTTGCCGTGTCTGGGGAGCTCGGGATGCTCTCATCCTCAGCGAGAAATTTTTGCTGGGTTCACGGCAACCAAAGATCCCTGATGTTGCTTAGTCATCCAAGCATCGCAGCGAAACATTTCACGCGCGGCGGCCTCGCGGAGAGTGATCCGCTGCCCGAGTTACTGTATGTAGCTATACACGCGACATTGTTACTTAGTCCTCATACATATGAAATGCCCTCTATGCATCCTGCAACTGGCGTGCCTTGGTGTTCATACTTCCGGGCGTCACAACGCTCCCCACAGACGGGTCCTCCTCCGCCACCCATCACGTGATAGACTGGCCTGTCGCCTAATTTGAGTTCCAACGGCAGAGCCGGCAGAAGTGCGCTGCAACCACATCCCTGTGGTTTTTTCCGCGAGCTGGGCTTGCTGAGTTGTCGCTGGCCTGCGGAGTCGCTCTCCTCAATCACCCGGCATGGGTCTTCATCAGAGCCGGAACTCGAGCCAGTCATTTTGAAAGGTTCGTGCAGCATCGGGATCTTCTCAACGAGCGAGTCCGGGGTGAGCGGGGATTAAGGGCAGCTTATTGGCAGACCAGTTTCTCTCGAAGGTGTTGGAGCACTGGGCAATCTCCTTAGACGCCAGTCGCCAGATAATGGTGGGGGTAGTCACGACATGCGGCTTTACACCATGCGGCTTGCAGGGGCCCCTATCACTGTTACCACGTCCATTCGTATCATTCGAAGACGGGACATAGCAATTTTTACGAGTACCCATGGCACTGGCACGGTGCAGACCTTTCCGCTGGGACCGTTCCATCGGTCCCTGACTTTGCTGCGCTTGGAGAAACTGCCCAGCAACCAATACCTGGATCACATTCAAGCCAGCCGGTAACGAATATGGAGAAGTGATGGCTGTGATACATCAGGATCCCTTAACCCAACTCCACTTCTTGGCATTCGTCCTACGGCCATTTCGGTGAAGCTTTTCCTTGAAAACGATGCGTACGTATATGCATCGTTTGGATGCATGTATGGATGTCCATACGTAGTACGTCCATACATGTACGCTGTCTAGGTTTGCTGCAGTCAGACGGCCAATAATAAACGAAGCTCCTACATGGAGTTCATTCGAGTGTCTTTGTGTTGGCAATAACTTGCAGCACGGAATACTCCATGCATTTTCAATATGGCTCCGTTGACCAACCCCACATTGTACATACATGTTGGCCAGGGTCGGAAGAGAGTTTCTTTGAATCCATCGACAATAATAGCAGTCATAACGCCAGGTCGGCTCTTAATTATGTGGCCTCCAAATCCGACAAATTCTTCTCTCCCTGGCTGGCTTTTCCTGGGAATCCATTCCATGCTTGATATAAAAGATGTTTTCCCTTGATCCAGTCTTCTTGAATAATGCACATATTCTATTTCATAATGCATTATTTACACTTTCTTCGAACAAACCTGCCATTTTCGTGATTAGCGCTGCGGTCCTTTTCCTCTGGCGACTATTGAAGGACATTCTCTTCAGTGTCAAGGCCCCATATGTCGGTTATGAATCGTCTTGGGAGCCGACATGGCTTATCAGCCGTCGTTTTTCACGCGAGGCGCCGGGACTGATTGAATATGGATATCAACGTGTAAGCCCTTGAGAACCCTTACCGTCTTGCTCTGTTCTCTTGCGTTAACGTGCTGTTTTGCGTGCCATAGTATCGAGACTCGATATACAAGCTTTCAAGAAGAGACTCGGACATTTTGGTGATCCCACATAAGTTCGTGGACGAATTGAGAAGCCTTCCCGAAGAACATATCTGTGCCATGGAGGCTCACATTCAAGTAACGCGCGCGTTCTCACCACACAATAACACCAGGAAGCTCTAACATATCGTTGCAGACACTTCTAGGCCCCATTACAGGAACAGACATCCTGCTTGACGGTGACCTTCACACCAAGGTACTGCAAACAAAGCTGACTCCAAACCTTGGTCATCTCATCGGGCCATTGAAAGAGGAGCTCGAGTTTGCTATGTCCATGGAGCTCCCTGATTGCAAAGGTACCTCGAGGATACCGTAAAGATTTCCTACATGGAAATTTAGGAACTGATGACCTCGAGAATAGATGAATGGGTCGAGATTCAAATGCATGGAATCATCCGACGGTTTGTGGCGAGGCTCTCAGCCCGTGCTTTCACTGGGCCAATCGCTTGTAGAAATGAGGAGTGGGTAGCAGCCAATACTGCTTATCCAACAAACATCTTCACGACCATTGGACCCTTGCGCATGTTTCCGTCCTTCATGCGTTCGTCCGTCGCTCCATTCCTATCCTCATACTGGCGTATTCGCTCCAATATCGCGACGGCGAAGCGCGTGATTGTCCCGATTATCAACCAACGCCGCCGAGACGAAGCATCCGGCGACCCTAATTATGAAAAGCCCAAAGATCTTTTGCAATGGATGCTGGACACTGCTAAACCTAAGGATGCTGCGCCTGCTTCGCTTGCCCATCGCCTACTGGCTTTGAGCTTAGGTTCATTAAACACGACGACTACGGCGGCTGTGCAGACTCTTTATGACATCTGTAATCACCCGGAATACTTTGAGCCGCTGAGAGAAGAGCTTCTCGATTCTCTGACGGCTAACGGTGGATGGGATAAAGCAACACTTAGCAAGCTTCACGGTTTTGACAGCTTTATGAAGGAGTCTCAACGAGTCAATCCGCCAAGTTATTGTAAGTTTGCTTGGAGAGCTTTGGCAGACTACACTTACTTACTTACTTTTCTTTCCGTCTTCAGTGTCCTTCAACCGCGTTGTCCGCAAGCCTCTCACCCTCTCCGACGGGACTAGGTTTCCGAAAGGAACACACTTCGGCATGCCTGCATATTCAATCCTTCAGGATCCCTCCATCGTCGAGAACCCTACTAAATTCGACGGTTTCCGGTACAAAAAGATCCGCCAGCAGCCCAAAGAGGCAAACAAGCATCAGTACGCCTCCACAGATTCCAACAACATTCATTTTGGCCACGGGAAGTATGCGTGTCCAGGGCGGTTTTATGCATCTCACGTAGTGAAGCTTATCGTTGGCCATTTGATTTTGGAGTATGATTTTAAGTTCCCCGAGGGCAAGTGCCGGCCACAGAACCTCAATATCGATGAGAATGTGTATCCGGACCCTTCGGCGACTTTACTCATTCGACGACGCCAGATGGCCTAATAATTGTAGGTAATGTGAAGCTTTTTTTTTTTCTCCCGCTGGATTCGTCGTTTTCTTTGAAGGTTCTGATGGCTTTTGTTGTCGGGGGTTATGATACTTTATCAGGATTCCCCCTACTTCTGGAGCACTTGTGTGTTTCTGGGATAGTTGTGATCTCCAAATCCCTATTCTAGTTATTGTTAGAGTAATACACGTTAAAGTAAATTGTGCAACAATGATGAGAAGCTACTCTTAAGATAGGCTGATCATACCGTAGATGTATGGGATTGGCCCAAACAAATGGGCCATTATCAGCCATCTCCAGGAAGGTCCTCATAGCTACTCCGTACAATCCATTGATTCCACTCGCGATTATCCCTCAAACTCATTTTAAACTCAGAATCAAGGGACTGAGACGTATGTGCTTAGGGTAGTCTGTACGACGCCAGGTCGCAATGGAATACGTGACCGGTGCTTTAGCCGTTGGATCCTTAGGTCTCGACCTTGGGAACTAGAGTCGGAGCATATCGATTCTCGTCCCAGCCAAAACATTGGAGCACTGTTTGCTTTTCCGCCGACGATCGTCAACTCAGCGAGGAAGCCTGGGTCGTGTTACTTGAGCCATCTTCAGCTCGCAGTCCAAACCTTCACTGATGTACCAGCAAATTTGACCGAAACGAAGATGCACACCACCTTGGTTGAGTTTCTTCCTGCTCCCAAAAGGGAAAGCTCTCTTTCTCATACCATCCCCGATGAAAAGAATGCTGCTACAGCTTCAAGTGGGACAAATCGCACGCACGGCGCGGTTCACCTTGATATAAGTTTGTGAGATAGGTTGCTCACTCCTGCACGATGCGAGACGGTAATTGAAACCAAATTTATATTTAAAAACCAGCCCTCTGTGGCAGGAGATCATTTCATATATCAAAGCCATACTGAGTGAATTGCTACCAGCAAGAAGGCTTTGCTTATGCAAGAGAGACGAACCAAACATGCCAGAACGTGCGACGAGAGAAACAATGGATGCACGCGCATCCGTAGAATGGAGAAGTTCGGTCAGCTGGCTTTGGGAGGAAAAAGGATATAAAGGCGGAAGTTTTCCTCTCCCCAGTGAGGAAACTCTGACGTGCAATCCAGACTGTCCTGCTCACTGAAAAAACCTCAGGAAGAGTTAATTCATTATATGAGCTTTATTTTGATAATGAAGGTCACTCAAGTTGCTGTCACCTTTGTTTCCCATGATTGCTGCGCCCGACACTAGACGCATGCAGATGTGTAAAGCTTTGGACAAGAACGAGTGCACCCATGTCAACCATAGCAGGGGCATGTATATGTATGTATGTATGTATTTATGTACAAACCCCGCCTCTGCTTGTAAGTGCACATCATATGTAAAAGAACCCCCCTGCTTTGGGCCTCGCTGTCCTGCAGCAGCCGTAGACGTAGGCGACATAGACAACAGAAACCACGTAGACAAGGCACACACAACATGGACAATATGGACAGTATGGACGACACATACAGACAGCCATTTGTTCAGTTTATTCTGACTGCGGCAAATGCAGTGTCTTGAGGCCACCATGGGCTGCTGGATCTTAAACCAGGCAGGATGGTCTCGCTTCCCCTTCCAGGTTGCCTCCATCCTCTGCTGGAGGAGAAAAGGGGAATTGGAAAGTCTATATCACCCCGTACAAGCTCTATCCCAAGGCCGATAATTTGATTAATTATCCACCCGTCCAGTCTCATGTAGCGATATACAGGGTCGGCAGTCATTTATCTCCTATCTAAGGGTACGATCCTCCAATCTCGCAATATAGGTGATGGTTTTCTGGATTGGAATATTTTTTTGGTTAAAGCTTCGTTGTTGCTGTGACCTATGCCCCTTATTCTTTCTGGAAAATTCTTATAATATGTGGGACATAACTACATATTTTATTACATATTTCTCTTTCTGAACTAGTCTGCACAGTTTCTTTCACATTCCACCTAAACTTATGGTGCAGCTTAGTTTCCATCAGGATGTTGCTTCAAACAAATGTTCAGGACCATTCGATTCCTCGCTGGGAAGCATGCATTTTCTGGTAACATGGTAAGGTGGCTCACCACTCAATGAGCCAAACCACTCAACAAGCCAAATTTTCGCACCATCAAATTTCTTCAATGCTCAACTTCAATATGCAATAGCATGGTCAACAATGAAGCAATTAAGCTTGCAATTAAAGATCTTGAATTACAAGAGACTCCAAATTACAGTGTGACTGCAAAAAAATATTCAGTCAGCTGAGAGACCCTGCACTGCAGCATCAAGATCTATAAGTTAATTACCATGAAGCAATCTCCAGACATAAGAAGAAGCTTACCAATATACAGAAGAATGAGCTTCTAGAGTATATAAACAAGCTCTGTAATTATAGTCTTACTTCTACATCTCAAATTCTTCAAAATATTATGCAAGAGATGATGAAAGAGGATATGGAAATCAACTGGATGATATAGTTTTGTGAGCACCACAAGAACAAGATCAAATTTGTTTATCTCAAGCTACTTGACAAGAATAAACAGATAGCAGATAATTATCACTGCTTTCAGCACTTCTATAGTCTTGTACTTTAATACTTTTTTTACTTCTTTGCAAGTATAGTTGTTGAATTTAACTAACTTGTTAAGTGCTTGTGCTGCTGTATTTAGTTAAGTAAGAAAATCAGTCAGTATAATATTATATCAGAAAATATATATAACTTTAATAAAAAAGAATTTCTTTTAGACTTCTGTTATATCTTAAAGTATCTTGTCTCTATTAAAGCTCTACAAGCTGATAAAAGTATTGTAACTTAGAATAAAAGCTGGAAATTTCTCTTACTGCTCTATTTAGTTTTTACAGATAAGATTACATTGTCTTCAGCTCTTATTTATTAGAGTGAATCCAGAGATCTTCAGAATATATAGCTGGATAATTTTGATAGAAGTAAATATATCTACTTTATAGTCTTAGTGAACAGCTGAAGTAATAATAAATATAGTCTGGAGTAGTTGCAACAGATTTTTAATCTATATATAAAGACAAAAGCAGATAGAGCAAGATATCTGCTTCTACTAGATGAACATTCTTTCTATATAAATATAAAATTTATTGAATATATAAACTGTAAAAGAATTCTGCTGTTGATTCTTCCACTACACTCTATCTACTGTTTGCAGTCTCTTAATATTAGTGTTTTTAGACTGCTGGGCAAGCATACTATTCCAGCAAGCTGAAATCTCTACTATACTGTGGACTGAGCTATATTTAAATAACAAAAAGGGATTTCTGGAGATTATTCAATGCAGTATGGAAGAAGACTTTGACAGATGACAATATATATACTGACTTTACAAAGACTGGAATTTATTCTCTGAATCTCTAGTGTTAATTAAGCTGATTTGAAACTGCTGATTAACAAGATTCTGTATTACTAGTTAAGTCTTCCATTTCTATAAATATACAGAAGCTTTGTCAAGAGATTAAGAGTATTTATCTTCAGCACAGCTTAAATTCATAGAGTATTAAATAAATTATTAAAGCCAGCAAGCAATTTGCAATATGAAATAAATTACTAAAGTATGAAAATTAGACTTTAAAATTAACTATTGTAATAAAGAAACAGCATTGCAAGCAAGACAAGTCTCTAGATCTACTTAATTATAATAATCTGAGCCAGATCCAGTTCTGAAGTTCTACAAAAGTCTTGCAGACTTGGGAACATCAGAATAAAATAGAGACTGAGAAAGCTTATAAAATTACTCAAATACAAGAGACAAAGCTTCAACAAAAGCTCCAAAGAGAGCAGACAGCTAGAGAAACTAAAGAAAAATAGATTAAATAAGAGACTGTCTGTATAAAGATCTGCAAGTAACAAGAGACTGAAAAGCTTGAATATACTATATAATAAAAGATTCAGTGTGTTATTTGTAAAAAGAAAAAGACTTTACAACAAGCAAAAAAGAAGAGACAGACTGTTAAATATACTAGTAAATACTGACAGTCAGAGCTTTAAGCACCAGCTTTAAAGTACTGTCAGCAGAGTCTTTCTATAAAAGAATCTTATTGTGGCAAGTCTATACAATCTTTCCAAAGCAGTAGTAAGAGCTCTATAAGTCTCTCTAACAAGTCTTTAGACTCTCTAGCTGAGAAATCTACTGCTGACATTTCTTTACAATCTTTTCTATCCACTCCCCATATCTCTCACTCTGGCCACAATATCAGACTGTCCACATGTTTATTTTCATAGCCACACTAATTTTCATACTTCAAAGAACACACTCATTTAATATTTAATAGCTAGTTTAATAATAATAATTTGTTGTTGAGATAATTAATAAATTTGTAGCATGGAGCATTGGAAGGAATTTGGCTTGTTGAGTGGTTTGGCTCGTTGAGTGGTGAGCCACCTTACCAGAGTAGTGGCTGCCACCATGCCATGTTTTATACACAGTGCCACATGTGGGTTCATGGCGGGCAATGCATTTCAACCAGCAGTCTGAGAACAGTCTGCATCATCTCGCATTGATTTGCTTCCAAGCGTGAAAGAGGTCTCGGTGCTCAGTCTAATAACCTTGAAAGATGGTATTTCTGGCAATAAGTGACGAACCCAAAAATATTTTATACTTGACTGTATCCTGCATGCAAGTAGAGAAGCCACGCATGGCTTCCCTGCCAATGCATCTGAGATTGAGAAGATGCCTGTAAGACGTTCGAAGGACTGCTGTTGCGGTTGAGGATGACGCGTGAAACTAAAGCCTAGGCTAAACAGCTCGCTGACTAGTTAGTCCCGGAACTTCGGTTGGAGAACTCCGGGACGTTCGGCAAATCGAGGCATTTCTGCCGGTGGAGAGAGAGCAAAGAGAATCATCACCAAACACACGAGGCCTCTTGGACGTTGGCCGGCGTGTCCGTACGTACGTACATATGCACGCTGGACTCCCCCGGATAGAGTAATTCGTTAGATAACTGGCCCACCCCACACGTTGCAGCAGCATGCCGGATGTTGCACCCACGAAACCCCCTTCGGTGTGGAGGACTCTGTCCAAGCACCGAGTTGCACGGTATCACCAAGATCAAAATCATAAAGCGAACGATAGGACCCCAGTAATTGTGAGCATTCCTCCATGCTCCATTCAAGCATTGGATCCTGTGAGGAATCCCGGGTCTCATGTGCTGTTCTTAGTGTCAGCTCGTGGCTGATAAGTGAGCATGGCTTCAAGCACATGGACCCCCGCAGATTTAACCTTGGGTTCCCCATCCCTGAAGCTCGGCTGTTCGTGGAAGACGGGATGCTGCCACCCTGTTACGGAGTCCGGAGTTTGAAGTACAAATATCACTAATCCACCACTAAAGCATTCGGCTCCCAGTGGACCCGTAAGGCAGTTATCGACCTCTTTAGTTAGTTGATTGACTGATCACATCAGTCTGCACTCGTTACCTTTCGAGTCTTTCATCACCGTCTCATCCTTTTACGGCTCCTTCAAACCATATCTACCACCCTATCCTCAAGTCTACAGAGTCGCTGCCACCCACGATGGCCTCAGTCACCCTTCCCACGTCTTACGCCGCCCTCCCTACGCAGCACATCAAGCTCTCCCATGTGCCTGCCACGTCCCCGACCCCCACACCCATTCTCCTCATGACACTCAACCGGCCTGACAAACTCAATGCGTTCACGCCAACTATGTGCAACGAAATGGTGTCGATATTCAACACGGTCGACGTGGATGACCGCGTCAAAGTGGTTGTCGTCACGGGTTCGGGAACAAAGGCTTTCTGTGCCGGCGCAGATCTGGAGCTCGGATTTCCAAAGGGAAAAGGAAAGGATGGGCATACAAATCGAGGAGACGTGACAAGGCCTAAGGATCATCGGGATGGGTGAGTTCTTCCCCGTCCCGAACTATTTGTGCGAGTTATAGGCAAATACTGACGCGCTGATTGTTTGTGCGCAGTGGCGGAAGAGTCACTCTAGCGATCCACAACTGCCGCAAGCCCACGATCATGGCCCTCAACGGCTCCGCCGTCGGAATCGGAATTACCATGACGCTCCCTGCCACTATCCGTCTCGCTACCGCTAACACCAAAATCGGCTTCGTTTTCGCTCGCCGCGGCCTGGTCATGGAAGCTGTATCATCCTTCTTCTTGCCCCGTCTCATCGGCCACTCTCGTGCCCTCCACGTCGCCACCACGGGTGCTACGTATCCTCCGGACCATCCTTTGCTACGCGACCTGTTCTCCGAAGTCCTCCCGACGGCTCAGGCGACCTTAGATCGCGCTCTCGAGATCGCAGAGGACATTGCACAGAATACTTCCACCGTCTCAACCTCTCTCATGAGGGATATGATGTACCGTGGGCCAGATAGTCCCGAGGGAGCACACCTGCTCGACTCAGCGATCATCTACAGTCTCTTCGGTGGCAAGGACAACGAGGAAGGTATCAGGAGTTTCTTCGAGAAGAGAAAACCGCAATTCAAAGCTTCAGTGACGAATCCGGACGATATGCCATCTTTCTATCCCTGGTGGAATCCGATCGATCTCACTCCACGGTTGGAGAAGGCTAAACTCTAAGCTAAAAGCGTCAGCAGTATTATGGGTATGAATATAAAGGTAGATTCTGAAGAGCATTTATTGCAGCTGTAGGTAATAAATCCGTCTTTCTACTAAAAATGTTTTCCAATATGCATATGCAAATAGCCCAAGGAGTGTAACTTCTATCAAACAATATAAACATCGAAAGATATCCCAAGATGGAGTGGAATCCATGATTTATCTCAAAGTGACCTATCTCCTTATCAGCCTTGCATCGAACCTTGGGTTAGGAGGAAGCTCGGGTGGGAGGACAAAGAGCACTTACCAATTCTTCAGCAGATGTAGGATGAATAGCAACACAGCTATCAAAGTCTTTTTTCGTGGCACCCATCTTCACTGCGACGCCAAAGCCTTGTAGCATCTCGCCGACTCCGAGACCAAGGATATGTAGGCCAACAACCTTCTCTTCAGGACCCGCGCAGATGAGCTTCATCTCGGTCGGGTTATGAGCTTTTTCTTCTGGGGGCATCATATCATAGAACATAGCTGTAAATTTAGTGTGGTAAATCTTGAGGTTGTCTTTTCCGTACTTCTCCACAGCCTCGGGTTCTGTTAAGCCGATAGAGCCGACTTCTGGATGAGAGAATACGACGGTGGGGATATTGTCGTACGACAATTTGGATGATCTCAGTTCGGGGGGCCCAAAGAGACGGTTTCCAAGTTGGCGGCCAGCAGCAATGGCAACTAAATACAAATCAGTAAAGAAACTTTCTAACTTTTTTTTCTGTCGTGGAAGAGACATACCTGGAGTCAGTTCCGCTCTTCCAGTAACATCACCGAGCGCGTAGATGCCTTCGACAGAGGTGTTCTGGAAATCGTCAACAGCGATATATCCACCGGGCAATTGTTTTACACCAATCTCCTTGAGACCCAGGTTGTCAACGGCCGGTGATCGACCAATGGCCCAAAGCAGCTCGTTGACTTCTATCTCGCTGCCGTCATGCATGATCAGCCTGAGCAGCTTATCTGCGCCTTTGCCTTCACGTAGAAGCTTGACCTCCTTGACTCCAGTGAAGTTCTTGTGGATCTTCATTCCGACATCTTCGTATCGCTTTGTCATGGTATGCTGGATCATTGGGTCAAACTTTCGCAGAAACGTCTCATGGCGACAGAACAGATGCGTCTCGACGCCGGCAGTGTGCATGACGCCCGCCAATTCAACACCGATGTATCCAGAACCGACAACGGCAACCTTCGGCGGCAGATCCTCGATTTCGAAGAACCCATCACTAGTGATTCCGTGCTCGGCACCGGGAGTATTGGGGACCTTGGGGTAGCCGCCGGTAGCGATCAGGATGTGCGGAGCGGTGAACCGAACCTTCCCACTGCCATCTTGCAGTGTGACTTCGAGCTCCTTCTGTCCAACAAAGGTAGCTGTTCCGTGCACAAGGTCGATCCCTTCACGGTTCCAGTTCCGCTCGTAGATACCGTTCAATCGCTCAATCACAGCATCGCGTTTTCGCTTGAAAAGATTGTAGTCTACAGAGATGTTCTTGGGGATATCATAACCGTAATGCACACCGTCACGTAGTGACTCTGCGATCGAGGAGAAATTCCACGTCATTTTCTTTGGAACACACCTATTCGTTTCATATTAGTTCATATATACCTTTTTTTTTTTTTTCCTTTTTTTTTTTTTATTATTTGTCTCTCGCAGAGCGGCAGGCGGCGTGGAAGGGGGAGGAGAAGAAAATACCCGACATTGACGCAGCACCCTCCCGATCTCCCGTTTTCAATGATCAATGTCTTCGCTTTATACCACCCCGCCGCTCTCCGTGCAGCACCACTGCCTCCGCTCCCACCCCCGATCACGATGTAATCATATTTCTTTACCTCTACACTGTCGATTGGCGCCATTGTATCTGATATCTTGGACAGAGCGGGGGAGGCACTCGAGAAATGCCGTGTCACCGATCCGAGACGGGTGGAAATCGCCAGTTTTCGAGGGGTGTTGTTCTTCGTGGGAGACAGCCACGACCTTGTCGCGTGAATTCTACGGCTCAATTGCGGCGAAGGATGGACTCGCAGTGCGGGAGAGACAGGTAGAGAGGGTACCGGTCGTTTGTTGGAGCTGCAGATTCGAATTAATGTATTCGAGGGACGTGGACAGAGGACAAGCATTCCTCCCTGCACTTTCGGGGGGCTCTCGGCGGGGTGAGGAGGGTGTTTTAAAATGCCGCAATAAACGGAACTGACAGAAAGTGGCTAGGGGCGGGGGGGAAAGGGGAGGGGAGGGGAGAAGCGAGCGGAAAGGTATGGGGAACGGATGTAACTGTTTTATGTACGGCGATTCCCTGATTTCCTCCCGCAGCAGAAAAAACGCCCGCAATTCGTGGGAACTATGCTTTGTCACCGGTGGCTACAGCGGCGGGGATTTTTTGCCGCTGCTCCGCCTCGACGCTAGGCTCGGAGTGGCGATGGTCTTGGGCTGCTTTAACAAATGCGTCGGCGTTTATGGTTCGTTTGATGGTTTAAGACGTGCTGCAAAACTGCCAATCTTCGGGCGAAATTCGCGGATTATGGGGACGACTGGAAAACTACATAATAGCCTTGTTCGGGTTCCCTTGAGCCCTGTCCGTAAGGGTCGATGTAGCATCCTTCTCCCTCACCCATCGAAGCAGACCCTGGATATCTAGTATCCCGCAATCCTCTACTACGTATCTCTGTACTATTCCCAGGGGGGCCCCCTTGGGTGTCAATGATGTGAACCTGCAGATCCCCGAATGACAGTGACGTCTTGGCTCAGACCAATCAGCAGCATATCCTAGTCCTTGAGAGAGCCCACAGAGTCTGTCAAGGCGGCTGTTGCGTCTTTTCTTCGGCCCGGTGTTGATTTGTAAAAGAGCAAAGTCCAGCTCACTTCTTAACCAACTTCCCAGGCTGACGTGCTCTAGCTGCGTGGAGCTGAGCAGCACTGATGAGAGAGGATCATGACGCCAACCACTCAGCCGGCTCCAGAGTATTTAACTAACTAACGCACTAACACACACTCTGTGGTTGCAGAGGAAGCTCTGAGAAAGTCAACATCTCAGCCCTTTCCAGAAATCCACCAGCAAACAGCTGCTCCGGGGTGCATTTCATTGCACAATCAGTTATCCACCTTGTTAATGCTCGTTCAAATTCCAGCCCCAGCAAAAGAAAGAAAAAGAAAAATCTCCCGCGTCAACAGGCTGCTATCGTGGCTTCTCTTACAAATCCCGGGTTCTAGTCCCCGGAAAATTAGTCATTTCGGGGAATAGCCGGCTTGTCGCCGGGACGAGATGATCGCCGATTGATGTTTTCCGAGTTGACTTTTTCTTAGTTGCATTGTAAGCTATCAGAGTGACGTGAAGGAAATACTTAATCCAGTTATATTTCCACTTTGCTCAGGTGGTTACACGACTCCTCCCTGTACGACCCAACGTTTCCACCCACCCAACAAAAGTCTACATACATACATACACACATGCACACTACATAAATATACAAGACTTTGCAAGAAAGTTTTGGAGACACATGGCTATACGCTGAGCCCAAAGTGGCGTAAAGTGTCGAGTTTCCGGCACCTAACTACATTAGGTAGAGGACTTACTCCACATAATATCATCACGGCAGATACGAACAGACAAAAGACAAGCGCCTTGAATCATATGTCAACAAGCACCGGGGAAAGGAGTAAAGAAAAGGGAAAGGAAAAGGCAAAGAAGTGCCGTCATAAAGCACCTGCAAAGGAAAGGAGGGATTTTTTTAGTGCCTGGAAATAAACAATGATAATGATGCTAAATGCAGACAGGCTGCCACCGGATCAAAACAAGAAAACAAAATAATCTCTCAAGACAACAACATGACGGAGGAATATAGAAAACGTAATCCTTACCAGATGCCGATGCAATTCAGGAAACACAAAAAGAGAGCGAGAGAAAAGAAGAGAGCGTCCGCATCATTTCCAAGGGAGAGGGTAAAGAGTAAGGGCGTGGTGAGAGTACAAATGACCGGCATCTGTCTGTCCCGCCATCGGCTTCTCATGGTCACCAAGGTCATTCGTGAGCTTGCTCCCTCAACGCGATACCCCTTTTTCTTCTCCTAGCTAGTGTCGGCAAAAAGAGTATCACTTCGTTATGATATAGAATTTACTGTTAAGCCGCCATCAAATTGGCCGGGTCGTCGAGAAGTGGACTGCCGGGCACCGCATCGAGAGCAACTTTATGAAGAGCCGGCTGGGCATGGCGCCCCATGACGCCCCGCTTGCGTTTGTCCAGGGCTTCTTTGACCCAGGCAGCAACTTCTTCGTCCGCGGTGTCGAATTCCGCTGCTGAGAGTGGTCCTTTACCCTTTCTGTCGGTTGCATTGATTTCAGCAGCAGCTCCACCTTCTGTTCCGCCCAGCAAAGAAGCAGGTGGCGCCAACAAATCAGCGAGCCATGGATGTCGGAGGAGAGTGGCATATGTAGGTCGAAGGGAGGGAGTCTTGTTCAGACAACAGCGAACGAAGTCTTTGGCGTTGGATGAGAAGCCTTCATCTGGAAGCGTTGGTGGGTCTCCTTGGACAATTGCCTAGTTTGCTAATCAGTACAGTGGTGGAAAAATAAAATTAAAAATAAAAATAAAAATAAAAAAAAAAATAAAATATCATATGACAAACTAAACACTTACATTTAGTTGACTGAATATGTTGTTATATGATTCAGGTGGGTAGGGGTATCGCCCTATGGCGCACTCAATAATCGACAACCCCAAACTCCAGATGTCGCTTTGCACACTGTACGTTCCGCCGTCGGGTCCAGCAGAAGGAACTCCGCCTGCGATCCGCTCTGGGGCCATGTAACTCTGGCATCCAATATTTGTTTTGGCAATGCTTGCAACCAAGTTTCCACTGACTCCAAAATCACATATTTTTATCTGACCTCGGGTATTGATGAGTATATTAGTCGGCTTAACGTCGCGATGTATGATGTTGTGTTCGTCTTTCAAAGATTTCAGTCCCATTATCGTCGAGAGGGCTATCTTTCTCAAGATATTCTCTGGAACGCCGTCGCCGTACAGCTTCTCCATGGAACCTCCATCCATGTATTCGACACAGATATACACGGCTCCCTCCTGGAAAAAAGCTCCATAGAAATCGATGATAAAGGGAGACACGCAGCGATGGAGAATATCCAATTCCATTATAATCGCGGTGAACTTGGACTTGTCCAGTTCAAGGCGAATTTCCTTCATTGCCATAACCACGTTAGATAGCTGGTCTGTCTCGCCATCCTCTGAATTTGGGGCGTTTTCGGCTTGATGGACACTATGCGGCGCCATAGAACCCCTCAGTCCAAGGCCAGGTCTTCGAAGGCGCGGTCTACAATGGCGAACTTTGTAAACAGTACCGTAATTGCCTTTGCCCAATTCATCCAGCGTCTCAACCTCATCCAACGAGATGCTGAAACTGTGGCCACCTGTGAAATCAATACCACCACCGTGGATAACAGCCTTGTCCTTGAATCTGATCGTGCCTGCCTTCGTATCGATGATCTCAGAGTATTTGTTGAATCCAGATTGTGCCTGGGCAAACTGAGCCTTTGAATGAGGCCCCGTTACCCCCTCCGGTAAACTGGTGGGGGCTCTGAGCGCCGGACGAGTGCCTCCAGCGTCGGAAAGTTTCATGCTTTGCTTAAAGCCACGCTTGGCCGCCAGACCTCCCAGCTTGGGGGTCATTGTTGGAGTGCGACCGACAGGAGAAGGCACGGAAGTCCAGCCTCCCGGTTGGGGTCGGCCGGTGGGCGACAATCCGGCGTTGGACAAGCCGCCCGGAAAGCGACCAGCCAGCGCAGGACCTCCACCCAAAACATTGGTATTAATGCCACCAACCAAGGCTCCCTTTGATGGTGTCCCAACAGAACTACTTCCTCCAGAAGAAAGAGAGGATGGAGTATTCTGTCCGGACCTTCCTCCTTGTCGCGAAAGAGAGAAAGCTTTCATCTTTGCCTGTATGTCCTGGCTCAGACCGCTCGATTGGCCGGCTGTAGGAACCGGGGGAGGTCTTCTGGCGGCATTGATATGTCCAAGGGGGGTGGAAGACGGAGTCATTGTTTGAGGAGATACGGTGCGGAGTGAAGGAGGCTGTGTGGTAGAGGGAAACATCGCATCGGTTTCATTGTGCTCCAGGGGACTCTCAGCGGGGCTCGAGAATGGGCTTTCGTCTTCTTGGCCATCGGTGAGATCAGAGTCGCGATCGCGACCCTCCATCGCTTGCTCGGTGGGTATTGTTCTCCGCGACGAATTTGCTTCCGCCTCCACGTGGTTGGACACTCCCCAAAAGCCTCTTTCGGATAGGAACCGAGGGAGACGGCGTCCTTCTGACTATGCAGAACTATGGAGTGCGCATGAAACAGAGGGAGATTGAAACGGAGTTGGCACGTAACCAGGCAGCGTCACTCTTTTTAGTCCCCCTTCTTATTATCAGACTCGGTAGGGTGCTCGGGCACTCGTCTGAGGGAAGAATGGTGTAAGGACGGAATTTTTTACGGAAACTGAAGAGGCAAACGACACTCTACAACCGCCCAGCACGAAGCGATAAAAAGGGTTCTGTAATGGCAAGGATTTCGCAGAGGGGTTCTAAGACGCCCCACGTCGGTCTAAGAAGAGAAACGGCCTCTAGAACGGTGAAAGCTAAAAGAGAGAACAGGGGTCTGCAGGGACGAACTCTCACCGGCTGCGAAGGATAGAGAGGGATAGAGAGGAGGGAGAAGCGAGACGAGAGAGTTGGCGGGACGGGAGTGGAAGACTCGGAGAATCCGCATGCCTTTCCCTGGCGAAAACCGATGTTTGCGCTGAGCTGAGGCGATGACTGGGCGCGAGTCGTGGCTTGAGTCGCGGTGGACTTGCGCTGGTGGCGGCGGGAGCTTTCCTCCTCGACCAACTACAGGACAGGTCCAAGCCACAGTGTGCCGTGGTTCCTCCAATCAGAGGAGCCCGAGAGTCCCCGCTGCGATGGGGCGGCCAATCAGGGGTTGAGCATGCACTTTCCGCTCCCAACTCAATCCCGTTGCCTTGCTGCACGGGGAAAGAGCAGACTCTGCGGGTGGCGAACATGTGCTTTGTGTCGGAAGAAGGTGCGAGGGAGTTTGCGGTGCCTGGCGGGATGGCCTGCTCTTGCGGGAAGGAACAAAGTGCCGGCCTATTTCCGCGTGTACGAAGCTCGGAGTACAGGAGTACATAAAACTGTGAGTTACCTTACCGCGGCTTGGCCCTTAGGGGGCCA